TAATACACACGCACATATATACACGAATATTTATTTACTCATTTAGATAAATGCATGCATGCATGCATGCATGCATGCGACTACCAACATATACAATTAAATCCCCATATTTAGAAGCAGCGCAACAATAACATTGCAGTTCTTGTTGCTTTGCTGCTGTTAATAATAAAACAGCAGCAACAGCAGCAGTAGCATAGCAGGAGGAACAACGACAATAAAGATGATGAGTACTATGAATACAATAAATAAAAGGAATAAAAAGAATAAAGGAAAAGAAAGAACATATATTATTATGTGTATATATGTATATGTATATACTTTTCATGTCTTCTTCATCAAATTCAAGATCGCTATCATCCTCATCATCATCACTTGTTTTATGATTTTCTTCTTCTCCTTCTTCTTCTGTCTTATTGAGTTCTGATTCAGAGGAAGAAGAAGGAGGAGAAGAAGAAGAAGGGGAAGAAGAAGAATGTTGTTTTTTCTCATTCTCCTCTATAATCATTTCTAACTCATTTAGACGATCCTGATCTGTTATACCTTCAGGTGTACAGACATCTTCGGATAAGGCAGCAGTTTCTTGATTGATTTCCTCCATTTCATTTAATAAATGTTGATGATCTTTAATGTCTTCTTTTCTTACTAGTCGTAAATAGGCATCAGGATCGAGCTTACCGGGTAATTTAGTACAACTATTGTCCCATGCCTCATCTCCTGAATCCTCATTTTCCTTTACTTTACCATATAATTGCTTTATTCTTTGTACTCTTTCTCTGTCGGGTAGTATCTGATACTTTTGTGCTAATTTAAATACTGAATTCCTTGCATCTGCTCTCTTTCCTGTTCTTGCTTCTGCTACAAAATGAATCGCTTTCTCATCTATCACCACACGCTGCTTCTGTAATGCAGCAAATAATTCTGCTCCTTTTCCTAATTGAACAGATCGTCTTTTAAAACTTTTAAATTTCTTTAAAGACGATTTCTGTGGCTTTGGAGGTGAGCTAAATAGCTCATCATAAGTAGAAAGCCTTATGGAATCCTTTTTAGTACTCATTTTCTCTTCTTCTTTCGTCACACAAACCTACAAACAATTGGACCTTAAATTAAAGAAAAATAACAAATAAAACAACAATTATACTTTTATTTTCTCCTATTTATACGAAAAAACAACCATTAATATCCTCCTATGCTCTAACCCACACACGCACGACCAGCGTGCCGTGACGACAACAAAACAGCGAAAGCGCTGCGGATCGCACACCAATTAAAGGCAAAAAAGGTATTTAATAAAAGCAAAGAAGAACATAAACTCAAAATAAACAATTAAACAACGGAATCCTCCTTTCGTTTGCACATTCTTCGCACATTTTACCAGCAAGAGCGCCCTATGCGGCTGGCAGTAGTAGCCACACGTCGCCGCCTGCAGAAGAATTCAACTTCTTCCGGGTGTACGTACAACTCCATTCATGCAGCTTTCTTATGCAGGTTACCACAAGAATACGTCATTTTTTCATTTTATATCTTTCTTATAACTCAATAAAATAAATTAAGCAGAGAAATATAGTTAAACAACAAACAGAATACAACCGTTAGTATGATGTGCCATTGTCATATAAGCAGGAGGGGGTCTTGTTGTTGCATGACAACATTATATAATGCATGTATCGATCTAATATGCATAACAACTTTATGAATTCAAAAAAATTAAAAACCTCTTTATAGAAAGAAAATGAAGCATTTATTGTATTTGTTTTGGATTTAGGCCGATGAAAACAACTTTTTAATCCTCATTTTCCCTTTTTTTGTGCCCTTTTACCCACCTGCAGCATGCAGCAACAGCAGTAGCTTACCGTCGGTGTTGTGCATTATTCAAGTGACTCTCCCTTCATTTTGCTTATTTAATAAATAGTAAAGGAATAATAAAGAGGAAAATGCCCTTTTTTATTAAGTACACCAATATTATAGCAAATAGGTCCAGTGGACAGGCAATCACCACCGGGTATTGCCGTTACTGCTATGCATGCATTATTTAGACGAGTTTCTTTGAATTCATACTTCAAAATGACTTATTTTATTAGTTAATTCGTTTAATTCATAGTGCAAAACGGCAAAAGGTTTCTGCCCACTCCCTTACCAACACCAGCCTGGATGTGGCTTATTGGCAGCAGCACTGCGAGTTGCAGCGGCCAGTACACATTTGCTGCTGAAGATTGTTTCTTTTCTTTCTTTCCTCCCTATTTACTTTATTCACTCCTGGGGAGTCCAATGCATGCACTGTGGCTACACTGCGTGCATCCATTCGTGCTAATGTGCATGCGCATTTGTAGTGCATGCGTGCATGCATGTGTGTATAGCATGCTTGCATAGCATTCCTGCAGAGGTGCGCGCACAGCAGTTCCATTACATGGTGTGCATGCATACATGCATGCATGCATGCATGCATTCACACCAATCACATTGCATGCATGCATGCATGCATGGGTGCAAGCATACCAGTTACATTGCATGCGTTCATGCATGCATGCACACCTGTTACACTGCATGCATGCATGCATGCATGCATACTATTCCAAGTATAGTTATAGTAATTATATTAATGTATGAATATATTAAAAAGTAAATAATAAGAAGGGGTGCTTTGCGGTTAAGAGAAGAAGGTTAAAAGCTTCTGCATGCAAGAAGTTAACAAGAGGGAATTCCCATTATTTGTTCTGCTGCTGCTGCTGCTGTTGCTGCTGTTGCTGCTGCTGCTGCGTCTGCTGCAGTAGAATGACAACAAAATAGCTTAAAGGCTCAATGCATGCAGGACCCCCTATGTGGGGTTTTGAAGCAGCGACTGCATGCAGCAGTTACGGTCTGCAGTGTCTACGCAGCACGCCTTGCTGCTGCACCTGCAGCAGCAGCAGTAGCGTCTGCTGCAACGTCTGCTGCGTTTTGTGCAGCATCTGCTGCAGCGTCTGCTGCTGCTGCATCTGCTGCTGCAGCGGATCCTTTTGAATGCCTTAAAGGAAAAACATATTGGCGTTACCTTCGCTGCTTTTTGGAAGTCCTGCATGCAGAGATGCGCAAGCATGGATGCATGCATGCGTGCATGCGTGCATGCGTGCATGCATGCATGCGTGCATGTATGCATGCATGCGCACTGCAGCAGCTTAAGCGCCCCACACATGCATGCAGCTGCCGCTGCTCCATTGTCTCTTTTAGCAACAGCAGCAGCAGCAGCAGCAGCGGCACAACTGCATGCATTATAAGAGCTAAAAGAGCCAACAAACAACAATGCAGCTGCATGCATTTATTGTGTACATGCATGCATGCGTGCATGCATGCATGCGCGCATGCATGCATGCAATTCTATTCGTTTTCTACTACTTCTTGAACATGCGCTGCTGGATCTAATGACACATCTGCTGCTGCTGCTGCTGCAGCTGCTAGCTGGCAGACACACACAAACACAGCCACTTCCTTCTGCCTCGCTGCTGTTTGCTGCTGTGTCTGCTTTCCCGCTGCTGCAAGCACCTAACCCGGCCCAGAGCAGAGCTGCTGCTGCTGCTGCTGCTGCTAGTGCCGCTGCACGTAATTTGCTGCTGCTGCTGCTACTTTTTCTGTTTCACTTGCTTATTATATTTATTAGAGAAGGAAAGCAGCAGCTGCAGCAAGGCATAGAAGAGAAAGAAGAGGTGCTGCTGCTGCTGCTGCTGCACTGCTGCTGCCTTCAGTTGCTGCTGCTTCTGCTGCTTCTTGAGCAGTAGCAACAGCAGTCTCTTCCTCCGTCTCCTCCTCGCTGCATCACACACAAAAATATAAATATTTAATATAGACAAACGGACAACTGCAGCAGCAGCAGCAACAGCAACAGCAGCAGGAGAAGCGATAACAGCAGCAGGAGAATCAGCAACAGCACTACCACTAGCAAGAGTAATAACAAGACATATAATGCAGGCAGCAACAGCAGCAACAACAGCAGCAGCAGCAGAAATGCTGAGAAAAGCAGCAGCACAAGAAGCAGTACAATAGCATAAAGTGCAGCAAAATGAACAACAGCAGCAGCAGCAGCAGCACAACAACAACGAACAACAGCAGCAGCACCAACAACAACAATAATCATAAACATCACCACCAATCACCCCCACCAACCCCACCACCACCACCATACACCACCCCCACCACCACCACCATACACCAGCAGCAGCAGCAGCACCACCACCACCACCATACACCAGCAGCAGCAGCAGCAGCAGCAGCAGATTGAGTATACTGACTGGCAAACGTTGCATGGGACCTTGAATGCATGCGGATCTTTATCTAAATTATAAATTTTATTGAATTGTTTAGCTAAAGAAGAACATTTATTAATAAATTTATAATTAGATTGCATGCAAAAGTTTGCTGTTGCTGCTATACATTTGCTGCTGCTGCTGCTGCTCCTTATGTAACGCATCTCGCATAACATAATAGGACAGCGGCAATGGCATGCAGCAAATATTCCTGCAATTGCTGCTGCTGCTGCTGCTGTATATTCTCCCTTATAATGCTCCTCTATTAAGGATAAATAATTGCTGCTCTCCCTGTCTATACACCCGAAGGCTGGGCAAGCAGCAGCATCAGCAAAATGATTACTTAATGCTAATAATTCTTCTTTGCTGCAGTGACCATTACGGGGGTCTGCTGCTGCTGCTGCTGCTGCTGCTGCTGCTGCATCATCACCTCCACCTTCCTCATTAACATCATCCTTCTTCTTCTCCTGCTGCTGTTGCTGTTCTTGCTGCTGCTGCTGTCCTTCTTGATGGGGAGATGAAAGAGATTCTTGTTGCTCGTGCTGCTGCTGCTCGTGCTGCTGCTGCTCGTGCTGCTGCTGCTCGTGCTGCTGCTGCTCATGTTCATCATCATCATCATCAGATAATACAGATGGTGTTGCTGCTGCAGCAGATGATACAGTTGGACCCTCTCCACTATGATGCTGCTGCTGCTGCTGCTGCTGCTGTGGTCTGTGCTGCGGTTGCTGTTGCGGTCGGTGCTGCTGCGGTTGCTGCTGCTGCAGCGGTCTAGGGGAGGATTCTTCCCTTGGCTCCTGTTGCCTCTGCTCCTCTGCTGCTGCTGCTGGTTCCTCCAAGTGACTATCTGATGATGTATGCTGCTGCTGCTGCTCGTGCTGCTGCTGCTGCTCAGGAGCGTCCTCCTCATCTGGTTCCTGCTGCCCATACATGCCGCTGTCTTCTGATGTATAAGAAGAATCACCTTGCTGCTGCTGCTTCCTTATTCCTTCGTGCTGCTGCTGCTGCTGCTGCTGCTGATCGTCAAACTGATTGGTGTAATCCAGCATATGTTGATCATCTTCCTGATCCTCCTCATGCTGGTGCTGCTGCGGCTGCTGCTGCTGCTGATCGTGCTGCGGCTGCTCGTGCTGCTGCGCACCATCACCTACGGAGTAAGGATCATCCATACCTTCGTACTGATAACGATGTTCCCTTTCATCATGGTATGGAGGCTGCTGCTGCTGCTGCTGTGGCTGCTGCTGCTGCTCCTGCTCCTGTGTTGGTGGCGGAGGTTGTTGCTGCTGCTCGTGATGGTCATCGTAGTACTGCTGTGGTTCATCTTCGGGGAAGACAGTCTGCTCACTGAACTCCTGCTGCTGTTGCTGTGGCTGCTGTGGCTGCTGTGGCTGCTGCTGCTGCTCTGTGTCTGTGTCTGCTGCAGTTTGCGGTGTATGCACAGGGGATGATGAAGGGTTTGCATCTTCGTGATAGTCCTCATGTACCTCGTCATACTCTGTTTCTATGGGATCAGACAACTCATCATTTCCTGCCCCAGCAGCAGCAACAACAACAATGCCACTGCTGCTGCGGTGGTGCTGCTGTTGCTGCTGCGCCTGCAGCAGCAACGCCGCAAGAGCAGCAGCAGCAGCAAACAGTAGCCGGGGGCCGGCGTAAGTCATGCTCAGGAGAAGAGATTGAAATCTTATACAGGAAGTAAAATTATAATATATAATAAACAAATACAGCAGTAACAGCAACAGCAATAGCAGCAAGAGCAGCAGCAGCAAGAGCAGCAGCAGCAGCACAGACACAGTCTATGATAGCTGCTGCTGCAGCACGGCAGCAGCGAGCAAGAAGAAGGAGGAGGAAAGGGGGTATGAATAGGGAAAAAGAATAAAATAAACAATAATTATATTATTTTATATTTATTATTTATAATATAGAAAAGAAATACAGTAAAAATAATAAGGATATACACCCCATCTGCTGCTGCGCATTGGTCCACCGCAGCAGGCGGTCCGCGATGGGCAGCAGCAGAGACGGAGGAGTGACCTGCCTTGCTGCTGCTGCTGCTGCTGCTGTTGCTGCTGCTGCTGTTGCTGTTGTTATTGTTGTTGCTCCTGTTGCTGCTAAATGCCTATACAGCCTATTGAAATCTTACGGAGAAAAATGCAATGCAGCAAGAACTGCTGCTCCCCACTGCCAGGTTGCTGTTGAGCAGCAGCAGCAGCAGCAGCAACAGCAGCAGCAGCAACTGTCCTTCCATAAGTACAGTGCAAATCCACCTTTAACAATGAAACCGAAGCTCTCTCGGTCAAATCCTGCTGCTGTTGCTGTTGTTGCTGCTGTTTCTGCGGTTGTTGCTGCTGTTTCTGCTGTTGTTGCTGCTGTTACTGCTGCTGTTGCTGCTGCTGCTGCCGCTGCTGCGCTGCTAGCAGCTCCTGCCACAGGTCATTTTAATAGTCAAGCACTTACGCCTTCTACGTGCCCAAACAAACAACTCTGTAGATTCCTTGTATAACTGGCAGCAGCAGCAGCAGCAACAGCAGCAACAGCAACAGCAGCAGCAGCAGGACCACCACCCGGCAACGGGTTGCTTGAAAATTTGCCATTCTGCAGGTGTCCTGAGTGCTGCAGTACTGCTACTGCTGCTGCTGCTACTGTTTCTGCTGCTGCTGCTGCTACTGTTTCTGCTTTTGCTGCTGCTGTTTCCGCTGTTGCTGCCTGTGGTGGTGCTGCTGCGTCAGTGCAGCAGCACCACGGCTGCTGCTGCATCTGTCCTCATGCCTAATTGTTTTCGCATGTGTCCGCGCATCAGTCTGTGCTGTAGCAGCAGCCGCAAGACAACTAAGACTAGCAGCAGCAGCAGCAGCAGCAGCAGCAGAAGCAGAAGCAATCCCTACAAAAGGAATAAAAATAAAATGAATATAAGAAAGAAAGAGTTATAAGACAAACAAAACAATTAAAACCTCCACGTATACACACAGAGGTAGCCCAAGAGGCGGATATCCCTATAGCTAGCTAACTGGCTAGCTAGCTAGCTAGCTAGCTAGCTAGGTAGCTAGGTAGCAGGCTCGCTGAGTAGCTAGCTGCGTAGCTAGCTGCGTAGCTAGCTAGCTAGCTAGCTGGCTGGCTAGCTAGGCTGCGGGGGGAACAGGGGAGTCGGCTTAGGGAGGATGACTCCCCCCGAACTAAGAGAGCCCCAAGACAACGAGTAGCTGTTGGAACCTTGTTGCTGCTGCTGCTGCTGCTGCAGTTGCAGCTGTTGCTGTAGCTGCCTAGACACCTCAGGACAGATCGGCAGCAGCAGCAGAGCAACACGACGCAGCAGCTCGGTGGCAGCAAAGAGAACAAGAGGAGAAGAAGGGGAAGATGACTGCCAAGGGGCCTGCAGCAAACACAAGCAGCAAACTACCATATTCTGCTGCTGCTGCTGTTGCTGCTGCACGCGTGCAGCAGAAACAACATCTATATACGAAGCGAAGGTGCAGCATAGACAAAAAGAGCAGCAACAACACAAGCAGCCGCAATAGCAGCGACAGCAGCAGCAGCATGACGAACCGCAGTATCATAGATCCGTTGAGCAGCAGCAGCAGCAACAATGACACCCCGGGTGTATCGATGTAGCTGCAGCTGCTGCAGTGCTGCCCGCAGCAGCAAAGGCAGCAAAAATGCACCGCGCAGCAAACGCCAACAAGAAATAAATAAAAGCCCCTGGGTAAGAACACCATGAGGGGTGCCTGCTGCAGTTGGTGCAGCTGCTGCTGCTGTTGCTGCAGTTGCTGCTGCTGCTGTTGCTGCTGTTGCTGCTGTTTGCGAAGAAGCAGATGGCGGCAGTAATGGGGAAACTGTCACTGAGTGGGTCGTTGATTGCAGCTGCTGTTGCTGCTGTTGCTGCTGCTGCTGAGGAAGCGGGGAAATCCCTGCCTGCAGCAGCAGCTGCTGCGCGGCTGCAGTTGCTTTGGCTTCATCCGCGAGAGCTTCTTCTGCTGCCTGCAGCAGCTGCTGCTGTACCTCCTGCATAGCGATCTTCTGCTGTTGTTGCTGCTGCTTCTGCTGCTGCTGCTGCTGCTGCAGCACCAGCAAGGTAGGGGGCCTTAAGAGGGCATCAATTGCTGCCTCTAAGGCGTCAATTGAATCGCTCGTTATTTCTTTTATAGGCCAATTGCCCCATGCTGCAGCAGCACAAGACTGCTGCAGCGAATTCCTTGGTGGTGGTGGTGGTGGTGCTGCTGCTGCTGCTGCTGCTCCAGCTGCCGTAGCTGCAGCACCTCCCTCTGCCAATGCACTAGGAGCACCACCAGCAGCAGTAGCTCCTGCTGCTGCAGCTAGAGCCTCCTTTTCTATGAATGGGTTTGTGGCTGCTGCAGCAAGCAGCAAGGGGGGTGGGGGAGCAACGCGTTGCTGCTGTTGCTGCAGCAGCGACAAAACCCTAAGGGCAAAATTCCCTACCTGCTGCTCCACAACACGTGCAGCAGCAGCAAGAGGGCCGGTGTTGCTGCTGCTGTTGCTGCTGCTGCTGCTGTTGATGCCAGTAGGTAGCAGCTTGATGTCGCGTTCAACTGCCTTGCAGTGCAGCAACGCGAACCGAAGCTGCAGCAGCGCAGCAGCAGCAACAGCAGCAACAAGAGTCATGATGCAGCACAAGCACCCTCAATAGAGCTATCTCTGCTGCTACCTGCTGCTGCATGAACAGATTTTGCTGCTTGCTGCTGCTGCTGCTGGCAGCAGTACTCACCTTGTCAGCTCCGAGTGTACGTACAGCTGCTGCTGCTGCTGCTGCATCAGCAGACCAGCTGGTGCCCAAGAAGTCCTTCAAGTCAACAGCAGTGGGACTTGCTGCTGCTGCTGCGCCAGCTGCTGGTGCTCCAGTAGGAAGCGAAGGTGCAGCAGCAGCAACAGCAGCAGCAGCAGTTGACTTGGCTATTTTGTCTCCTGTGGGTCTAAGGAGCCATCCATGCGCCAACTGCTGTAGCGGCAGCTGCTGCAGCAGTCCAATGGGAAGGACATCCTCTTCCCTATCGCTACTGCTGCTGCTGCTGTTGCTGCTGCTGCTGTTGCTGCTGCGGTTGTTGCTGCTGTTGCTGCTGCTGCTGCTCAGTGGAGGATGACGGAGGGCCAGCAGCAAACCCAAGAAGAAGATGGCATGAAACCGAGCGATGTCTCGCCCAAACACCTGCAACCGGGGTGGCCTGCAGCAGCAGCAGCAGCAGCAGAGGCAGCAGCAGCAGAAGAGGATTAGGATAATGGTCCGTCAGGGGCGACAGATTCAGTTAGGCCCTAGAGACCAGTAAGCAGCAGCAGCACAGGCGAGAGCAGCAGCAGCAACAGCAGCAGCAACAACAGCAGCAGCAGGTGTAGTCTCACCACAACTTAGTGTTATTATATTTGCTGCATGCAGGCAGCAAATAAGCAGCAAGAGCATCTATCCATACATACAATACTTCTTGTGTATCATTAGGTACACATACACCCCAGACACAATTGCATGCAGATAGACACACCCCACTCCTGCTGCTGCTGCTGCTACTGATGGTGCTGCTGCTGCTGCTGTTGCTGCTAGTGCTGCTGCTGCTACTAGTGCTGCTGGCGGCTGTGGCCGCGTCGATGGGATTTCCACTGCTGCTGCTGTTCTTGTCTTGCTTGCTGCCGTTGCTGTCGTTGCTGCTGCTGCTGCTGCTGTTGCTGCTGCATAAGACCCTTGCTATGCTTACTAAGCTGCGGTGTCTAGACACCTGAATATCGCGGACGCGAGGAAGGAACTGCAGCAGCTCCCGCTGCTGCGCCTTTGGCAGCAGCGACGAAGGCTGGAGCAGCAACCTGCAGCAGCAGCAGCAGCAAAAGTATAAAGCTTCATCAAAGAGCACCAGCAGCAGCAGCAACAGCAGCATCAGCAGCAGCAGCAGCAAACCTATATACTGCCTTACTCTTTTAGTTGAGGCCGAAGGCGCTTCAAGGCTAAGAAATATCCATACTCCTCCTCTCCTTCTCCCGCCTGCTGCTGCTGCTGCTGCTGTTGCTGCTGCTGCTGCTGTTGCTGCTGCTGCTGCTGTTGCTGCTGCTGCTGCTCCTGCTCTAGTTGCTGCTGTGATGTGTGTTGCTGCTGCTGTTCTTGCACATCCCAAACGTCTGCCTCTTCCTCTCCGCCTGCACCTTTTGGTGAAATGTGCTGCTGCTGCTGCTGCTGTTGCTGCTGCTGCTGCTGCTGCAGCGGAGCGCGATAGATAAAACCCCTTTCCTGTAGGGCTCGCCAGAGAGAAGCAGCAACTGCAGCATGGGAAGGCAGATGGTGTTGTTGTTGTTGCTGCTGCTGCTGCACGTCGCCTTGGAGTTGTCCCGGTTGGTGTTGTTGCAGCAGCTGCAACTGCTGCTGCAGGTTATGTGTGTGCTGCAGTTGCTGCAAGAGCATTGGATTTGGGGTGTACGTGCAGCAGGTCTTTGTTGCTGCTGCTGTCTCTACGAAGAAGCTGCTGCGGACATGCGCTTGCTGCAGCAGCTGCTGCGCCTGCTGCGAGAGCAGCGCAACAAACCATTTAACAGGTACACAGCAGGGGATGCTGGTGTTGTCTCCCCTTGCTGCAGCAGCAGCAGAAGCTGCAGCAGCAGCTGCTGCTTCAGTATCGCCCTTCTTAGCAGCAGCAGCAGCAGCTAATGAGAAATGAGCTGCTGCCAGCTGCTGCTGCTGCTGCTGCGGCAGCTCATGCCACCAACGCCTTGCAGATTCAAGTACCTTTACACCATGCTGGTCGCTGCCACACAGCACCGCATAATCTGCTGCTGCTGCTGCTGCTGCTGCTGCTCCTGTTTGTGCTGTTGCTGCTTCGTGTAACGCTTTTCCTGCTGCTAGCATTGTTCCTGGCTGCGCTGCTGCCGCCCCTGCTGCTCCCCGTCCTGCCTCCGCTGCCGCATTGCCTGTTGCTACGGTTTCTGCTGCTGCTACAGGAGCAGCAGCAGCAGCAGCAGCAGAACCTGCATTGAAGAGGCGCAGCAGACCAGCAGCAGCATCTGCAACAACTGCAGTGTATAGATGCCCTAAATGTAAGCAGCCGTTGCTGTAAAAGAGGGGGGCTGTCACATACACTCCACCTGCAGCAGCAGCAGCAGCAGCAGCAGCAGGTGGTGGTTCGTCTGCTGCTGCCGGTCCTGCTGCTGTTGGTACTGCCCTATTAGGGCCATTGCCCCTGCCATTATCAGCAGCAGCAGCAGATCCGCACGATGTCTTGCTGCTGGTATTCAGCCTGAAGCATTTCCTGCTGCAGAGCTCCTTGGCAAGAAGATCAGAAGGGCCATACGGGCTGCTGCTGCTGCTGCTGCTCCTGCTGTAGCTTGTGTTGCAGCGTCTGTTGCAGCTGTTGCTGTTGCTGCTAATGCACGTGCTGGGAGCGCTGGGTGCCCTGAGAAAAGAAAGTGAGTAGCTGCTGCTGCTGCTGCGGCTGCTGCTACGTGGAAGGGAGTGTATGCAGGAGCAGGAACTGATGAGGAGAGCGTGCAGCAGCAGCAACAGCAGCAGCAGGGGGAATGGGCTCGACAACCCCCAGCTGCACATCGCACCAGTAGCAGCAGCAGGTGCTGCTGTTGCCGGTGCTGCTGCTATTACTGCAACATCACTACTCAATATAGCTGCAGAGGCTGCCCTGCATTATCAACAGCAGCAGCAGCAGCAGCAGCAGCAGCGGATCGGTGAGGACTCGAGTGCTGCTGGAGGCAGCAGCAGATAAGAAGTGTGGGGAGTTGCTTTATGCTGTTTATCAAGACTCTTAAAACCTGTTGCTACTTTTGCTGTTACTGCTGCTGCTGCTGCTGTAACTGTTGTTAGTGCTGCTGTTGCTGCTCATGCTGCTGCTCCGCTGCTGTCGGCGGCCCTCTCCGGCGGCCGAAGGGCCCGCCTGCAACAGCAGCAGCAGCCGCAGCAGCAGCAACAGCAGCAGCGACCGCAGCAGCAACAACAAAAATCGGGAATATCTCTGCTGTATATTAATTCATATACACTGCAACTCCACCTGCTATTTGGCAGCAGCAGCAGCAGCAGCAGCAGCCGCTGCTGCTGCAGGAGACAGCAGCAGCAACTGCAGCATATATATGCTCTCGTTTCGGAACTACAGAGCAGCAGCAGCAACAATATATACACCCAATTTTACTCCCATAGCAGCAGCAGCAGCAGGGGTGACAGCAGCAGCACTGGGCAAACGCAAAGACACATGCAGGAGCAGCGGCAGCAGCAGCTGCTGCAGCAGTGCCAAGAAGGCCGAGGTCTCTAGAGCAAGTTGAGAGCTTGCAGAAGCAATAGAACCTGTTGCAGCAGCAGCAGCAACAGCCGCCGCAGCAGCAAACGCAGCACTCCCGCCGGTTGGGACACCGCAGCAGCAAGAGCAGCAGCAAGAATCTTCTACAGCAAAACTGTGCTACTGCAGCAGCAGCAGTAGTCTTCTAGAGCTGAACACTGCTGCTGCAGCTGCTGCAGCATCAGGGCTCCTTGCTGAAACACAGCAGCAGCAGCAGCAGCAGCAACAGTAGCAACAGCAGCAGTAGCAGCAGCCATAGCAGCAACAACAGCAGCAGGATGTGGATTTCTTCTTTTGTCTCCTCCGTGCTGAGAGATGACGAGCTGTCGGAAAATGAGGAAGAGCAGCAGCAGCAACAGCAGCAGCAACAGCAGCAGCAGCAGCAGCAAACCGGAGTGAACGCAGAGCAGCTCGACAAGGGAGCCTCGTTGGCAGCCAAACCGACCGCTGCTGCGACAAAAACGCATGCAGCAACAACAGCAGCAGATGCAGCAGCAGCAGGTTCTGGGCAATCCAGCTATGCTGCGCTGCTGCAGCTGGTAGAGCGCCAGCAGCTGCTGCTGCAGCGGGAGGCACAGGAGAAGCAGCAGCTGCAGCAGCAGACAGCAGACCTAGAACGTACACTGCAACTATTGCAGCAGGAGCTGAAGCAGCAGCGCCAGCAACAACTGCAGCAGCAGCAGCAGCAGCAACAGCAGCAAGTGCAACAATCTTCAGGCACAGAAATTGATCTGAGTGACGACTGGGGAATTTCAGGTGAGGAGGAAGGGAAGCAGCAGCAGCAGCAGCAGCAGCAGCAGCAGCAGCAGTTGATGCTACTGCAGCAGCAGGAATCGCAACTGAAGCAGCAGCAAGAAAAACTGCAGGAACAAGAGAAATTGATACAGCGACAGCAGCAAGAGCTGGCGGAGGCACAGCAACAGCGGCAGCAGCAACAGCAGCAAAGCGCCGAGGAACATGCTGCGTTGCAGCAGTCTATTGCACGGCTGCAGCAAGAGCTGCAGCAGCAACAGCAGCAGCAGCAGCAGCAGCAGCCCATTAAGGAAAAGGAGCAGATAGTGGAGGCGCTGCAGGAGCAGCTCCGACAGCAGCAGCAGCAGCAGCAAGAACTGCAGCAGGAGCTGCAGCAACAGGCACTCCTGAGGCAGCAGCAAGAAGAATTGTTGCAGGAGAGAGAGCGGTCGATTCAGCAGCTGCAGCAGCAACAGCAGCAGCAAACATCTCAAGAGGAGCTAGTGCGTCTTCAACAGAGCAACGCGGAGCTGCAGCAGCAACTGCAGCAACTGCAGCAGCAACTGCAGCAACAGCAACAGCAGCAGCATGACCTTGAGATAGTCCTGGAGGAGCAGAAAACAAAGGTGACGGCGCTGCAGCAAAACCTTGAGCAACAGCAGCAGCAATACCAGCAGCTGCTGCAGGAACAGCAGCAGCAGCACGAACAGCAGCTGCAGCAGCACAACCAGTACCAGCAGCAGGAACTTGAACGGCAGCAAAAGCAGCTGCAACAGGAGCATGAAGAGAAGTTGCAGCAGCTGCAGCAGCAACTGCTTCAGCAGCAGGACAAGCAACAGCAAGATCTGTTGCAGCAACAGCTGCAGCAGCAGCAGGACGCACACGCGAAGGAAGTAGCGACTCTGCAGGAGCAATTGCAGCTGCATCTGCAGCAGCAGGAGCAGCAGAAAGCAGCTATGCAGCAAGTGGAGGAGCTGCAGCAGTTGCTGCAGAAGGCGGAGCAGCAGCGCGATGCCCTTCAGCAGCAACTGCAGCAGCAGCAGCAGGAAACTGTTCCCGTTCAAAAGGTCGAGGAGCTGCAGCAGCTGCTGCAGCATGCAGAGCAGCAGCGTGATGCCTTGCAACGGCAGCTGGAGCAGCAGGAGCAGCAAAAACAGCAAGAGCAGCAAGAGAAGAAACAGCAAGAGCTGCAGCAACAACAGCAGCAGCAGCAAGTAGGCGAGAAGCTGAAGCAGCTTCAGGATGAGCGCGCTGCGTTGCAGCAAGAGCTGCAGCTCTTTGTTGCTGAGATGCGACTAGAGCAGAAGCAGCAGCCAGAGGCAGCAGAGCAGCAGCAACAGCAGCAGCAGCAGCAGCAGGAGCATTCACTGCAGCAGCAGCTGGAGCAGTTGTTGAAAAGCTACAGCCAGGTTGCTGCAGAGAAGGAAGCGCTGCAGCTACAGCAGCAGCAGGCGGAGCAGCAGCATGCGCAGCAGCTGGAGCAGCAGCAGCGAGAGTTTCAGAATCAGCAGGAGCAGCAGCAAAAAGTGCTTGAACAGATGCAGCAGCGTGTGCAGCAGCTGATGCAACAAGAACAGCACGGGGAGCAGCAGCAAAGAGAGAGGATCAGCGAAGCGGTCAGCGGGGCATCGGGTGCGCCTCAGCAGCAGCAGCAGCAGCAGCAGCAAGAACGGCGGCTGCAGCAGCAAGAAGTTCTACTGCAGCAGCAGCAGCAACAGCTCCATCTTCTCGAAGAGTTGCTGGAGGACAGAGACGACGAAATAAGGGAGCTGCAGCGGCAGGCTGAGCTGCAGATGGAGCAGCAGCAGGAGGAAGAGCAGCAGCACCAGCAGGTGCAGCATGAAAGGCAAGTTGCAGCAGCTGCCTCAGCAGCAGCAGCAGCAGATGCTGCAGCAGCAGCCACTGCAGCACAGGAGGAAGCAGCTGCAATGCAGGAGCAGCTAGAGGAAAGAATCCGTCGTCTGTCTGAGCAGTGTGAGCAGCAGCAGCAGCAACTGCAGCAGCAGCAGCAGCAACTGCAGCAACAACAGCAGCAGATTCAGCAGCAAAGGCAGCAAATTCGCGAGCAGCAGCAGCTGCTGCTGCATGCAAAACATGAGGAGCCACAGACCAACGGTGTCCATACACTCCAAGCAGCAGCCACGCGGCTTGCAGCAGAGCAGCGCCCTACAGAGGAGCTTGAGGGCTCGTTGGAACAACAACAACAGCAGCAGCAGCAGCAGCAGCAAGAGTGGGAGCAACAGCTGCAGGAGCAGCAGCGGCTGGAGGAGGGACTGCGACAGCAGCATGCAGCAGCACCCTTCAACAGAGAACAGGAGGTGCTGCAAGGCGGCGACCCACTTCAGCAGCAGCAGCAGCAGCAAGAGCAGCAACTGCTGCTGCAGCAAATTGAACAGCTCAAGACTGAAGTGCAGAATTTGGAGCAACAGCGCGAGCAGATGCAGCAGCAGCAACAGCAACAACAGCAGCAGCACGCGCTGGAGAGAGAAGAAGCGCAACAGCAACAAGCGTCTACAGCAATGGAGCACCAGCAGCAGCTGCAGCGGCTGCAGCAGCAGCTAGAGCAGCAGCAGCAGCAGTTGGAGGCGGAGCAGCGGCTGCACACAGAAACGAAGAATTCAATGGAGCATATGCTGCAGCAAGCACAGCAGGAGCAGCAGCAGCAGCAGCAGCAGACAGAACGCCAGTTGAAAGAGGCTCTTGAGAACCTCGAGAAGGAGCGTAAGCAGCTGCAGCAACAGCAGCAGCAGCACCAGCAGTTGCTGCACCAGAAGGAGCAGCAGCTAGTGCAGCAGCAGCAGCAGCACGCTGAAGAGCTCCGGAAGAAGCATCGGGAGTTGCAGCAAGTGCAGCAGCAACAGCAGCAGACCGTCCAGAAACTGCAGCAGGAGCTGCAGAAGCAAGCTGCTGCTGCAGCGGAGAATCTTGCTGCAGCGCAGCAGCGAGATAGAGCAGCAGCAGTGGCTGCGTCTGCTGCTGCTGGTCGTGTTGATGCTGCCGCTTCTGCTGCAGCTGCTGCTGCGTCCGCCAGCGCCGCAGCAGTACAGCTCTTCAATGAGGTGGCTAAGCAGGTGCCTCAGCTGCAGCAGCTGCAGCAGCAGCAGCAGCACACATCCAGCGATGGTGTTGCAGGAGATTCGACCATCGTTGCTTCCTGTGAGCGCTGCTGCTGCTGTTGCTGTTGTTGCTGTTGCTGATGCTGTTGCTGGGTGTGCAGCAAATCTGTGCATTCTGTTGGCATTTTTTGTGTCCTCTTTGCCTGCAGTATCTGCGGCGTATGAAGAGGAAAAGAAGCTGCTGCGGCAGCAGCTGGAGAAGCAGCAGCAAAGGGCAGAGCTGCTGCTGCAGCAACGGCAGCAGCAAGAGTCTTGTGCTGCTCTTCGTGAACGGGAGCTTCTTCTGCGGCTGCAGCAGATGAGAGGTATGTCTGCTGCTGCAGCAGTCACCTCCCCGATGCCGCGGCAGCAGCAACGGCAGCAGCAGCAGCAACGGTAGCAGCAGCAGCAACGGCAGAAGTGATAGCAAGAATAGCGCTAAGGAGGACAGTAACGATCAATACAGCAGTGGCTTCAGCAGCAGCAGCAGCAGCAACAGCAGGTACAGTGGCTCGTCGTTGCTTGTGCTTCTGCCCTGCAGGTATTGCGCTGGCGGCTTCGCAGGAGACAGCAGCATTGGCTATGCAGTTGGGCTTGTTGTGGGGCCAGAAGCAGCAGCAGCAGCAGCAGCACCAACAGTTGGAGTTGTATTCTGTTGAACGGGATGTCAGTGGCAGGTAAATGCTGATGCTTCAGCAGCAGCAGTGCACCACCTACTGCTGTTGCTGCACCGGTGTAGACTGCTGCTTCTGCAACTGCTGGTGCCTCAGCTGCAGCTGCTGCTTCTGTTGCTGCTGCTGGGGTGTATGAACAGGTTAGCAGCTGAGGGGGCTGAGGCGGAGACGAAGGCGCTTCTGGAGAAGTGCAATGGGAGAATTGAGGAGACTGCTGTAGGCTCCTGCTGCTGCTGCTGCTGCTGCTGCTGCTCCTGTACCCTGCTGTGGTGGCTCTGCGTGTCATACTTACAGCTACTGTTGCTGCTGTTCGTTCTGTAACTGTTGCTGTTTCTTCTGGATGCGGTGCTGCGATTAGTGGTGCTGCTGCAGTTCCATGTCCTGTATTGTTGCTGCTGTTTCTGCTGCAGAGCCACATGATGACGTCGCTGCAGGAGCTGCAGCAGCAGAAGGAGCAGCTGCTAGAAGCAAATCAGCAGCTAGAGCAGTGAGTTGCACGAGGCGCAAGAGAAGCGACAACAGCAGCAACAGCTGCAACGAGAGGTTGGACCTGTGGCTGCCGTTGCAACCTCAGCAGCAGCAGCAACAACAGTAGCCACCAATGTGTCTGTCAACCGTGTGCTTCAGGTCGCTGAGAGAAACGCAGCAACAGCTAAGTGCTCAGGAAGCAGCAGCAGCTGCGCAGGTAGCAGAGAGATCGACTGCTGCGGTTGTTGCAGCAGCAGCAGCAGCAGCAGAGCTTCGTCGTCACCAAGACGTAGACGCTGCCGAGCAGCAGCAGAAGGCTGCAGCAGTTGCTGCAGCGATAAAAGAAGCAGGAACGCGCCTAGATACAGCAGCAGCAGCAACTGCAGCGGCAGCAAATGCAGCATCAGAAGCATCTAAGGCACTTGCTGCTGCTGGCAGCAGCAGCAACCTCTCCAACCTGGAAGCAGCGAGTGCTCAACAAGCTCAACGCAAACCGCAGCAGCAGCAGCAGCAGCGAGAGCAGCAGCAACAGCAACAACTGAGAAAGCAGCAGCAGCTAACGTTGGAAGCTGATTCAGCTGCAGGGGGTTGGGGAGACGACGACTGGCTGAGCGACATAGGGGAAGACCAGCAGCAGCAACAAAAAGAGCAACATCAGCAAGAAGCGCAGCAGAAGCAAGCCGCGCAGCAGCAGCAAGAAGCGCAGCAGAAGCAAGAAGCGCAGCAGCAGCAAGAAGCGCAGCAGAAGCAAGAAGCGCAGCAGCAGCAAGAAGCGCAGCAGCAGCATGGAGCTCAGCAATACCAACAGCAGCAGCAAGAAAAACAGCAGCAAACTCTCTCTCCTGAAAGCCGATGGGAGGCTGGTGAGGAGTGGGAAGCGGAGCTGGTTGAGGAGCGGCAGCAGCAGCAGCAAGATCTGCTGCAGCAGCAGCAACACCAGCAGCAGGCGGAGTTACTAGCTGCTGATCTTTCGCCGGACCGGAACCAGCAACACCAGCAGCAGCAGCAACAGCAGCAACAGCAACGGTATCATGAAGAACTGCTGGAGCAACAACAGCAGCAAGTGGAGAGTAGGCAGCAAGTGGACTGGTTCAATCAGGATGCTGCCAAGTCGCCACCGCAACAGCAACACCAGCAACAAATGCAGCAGCAGCAGCAACAGGAGCAACAGCAGCAGGAAGGTATAAGGCAAGCTGGGTTGAGAGGGTGGGACGACGATAACTTTGATACCGAGCGACTAGCTAGCAAAGACTCTTTAACTGCTGCAGCAGCTCCTGCAGCAACAACAACACCAGCAGCTCAAGGTGCTGCTGCTACTGCTGCTACTGCTGCAGTGGTTGCACCTGCTGCAGCAGCAGCAACAGCTGACGAGGATGATATAGACTTCCAAGATGACTGGGGAGTGTCGACAGCTCAGTTAACCAAAGACAAGGATTCAGCAGCTCCTGCTGCTGCAGCACCTGCTGCTGCAGCACCTGCTGCTGCAGCACCTGCTGTAGCAGCACCTGCTTCAGCACCACCTGTTGCAGCTGTACCTGCTGCGGCATCATCTGCTGCAGCAGCGCCTGCTGCAGCAGTACCTGCTGCAGCAGAAGCAGTTGAAGAGGAAGACCTGGACTTTGATGATGACTGGGGGGTGTCGACAACTCAGTTAACGAAGCCTACAGCAGCACCTGCAGCAGCAGCATCTGCAGCAGAAGCTCCGGCAGCAGCAGCAGCAGCAACGGCAGCACCAGCACCTGCAGCAGCAGCTCCTGCGGCAGAAAAACCTGCAGCAGCATCACCTACAGCAGCAGCAGAAGCATCTGACGAGGATGATTTGGATTTCGACGACGATTGGGGAGTTAAGCCAACGAGCATAAAGGCACGCACACCAGCAGCAGCACCAGCAAAAGCAACACCAGCAGCAGTAGCAGCAGCAGCTGAAGAGGAGGATATTGATTTGGAAGATGACTGGGGAGCTCCTCCAGCACAACCAGTCGTGAGTAGGCAAGCAGAAGCTGCTGCTGCAGCAACAAAAACGGCACAAGCAACCGCTGCGGAGACAGCAGCAGCAACAGAAGCAGCAACTGATCAACAGTGTCTGGGCTTGGGAGGTGCACGGGGAACCCCAGAGGCTCACACTGAGGAACGCCCACGTACTACAGTCCTTGGAGCAGCAGCAGCGGAGCCCACTGTTGCTGCAGTAGGAGCACCTGTTGCAGCATCAGCAGCAACAGCAGCTGCAGCTGCAGCTTCTGATTCTGGAGACGACATCGACTTCGAAGATGACTGGGGAAGCCCTCAACCTCCTACAGAAGCAAATAAACGAACAGCAGCACCTACAGCAGCAGCACCAGCAACAGCTGCAGCTGCAGCAGGCCAACCTGCAGCAGCAGCAACAGCAGGTGCAGCACCAACAACAACGGCAGCAGCAGATGCTTCTGAAGACGAAGATCTAGACTTCAACGATGACTGGGGAGCCCCAACAACTCATGGAGCACCAGCAGTACCAACGGGTTCTGCAGCAGCAGCACCTCCAGCAGCAGCAGCAGCAGCAGCACCTCCAGCAGCAGCAGCAGCAGCAGCACCTGCTGCAGCAGCAGCACCTGCTGCAGCAGCTGGAGCATATGAAGATGAGGACCTGGACTTTCAAGACGACTGGGGAGTCGCAGCAACTGGAGGAGACACAAAGAAAGGAACAGCAGCACTTGCTGCAGCAGCAGCACCTGCCGCAGCAGCACCTGCAGCAGCAGCACCTGCAGCAGCAGGGTCGTCTGTACCAGCTGCACATGCAGGAGCAACAGCAGCAGCAGAAGCAACTGAGGAAGATGATATCGACTTTGACGATGATTGGGGAGCCCCAGCAACTCAGAATGGCACAAAAGCCCCATCATCATCATCAGCAGCAGCACCAGCGCCTTCTGCAGCAGTAGCACCAGCGCCTTCTGCAGCAGCAGCAAGTACAGAAGCACGTAGAACAGAAGCCGCAGCAACAGCAGCAAATTCTGCTGCAGCGGATGACGATGCATCCTTGAACCTTGATGATGAATGGGGTGCCGTAGGAGGAGATGAAGATGCAAGAGTGGCAGCAGCACCAGCAGCAGCACCTCCCGCTGCTGCTGCTTCTGGGGAACAGGAGCTCGAGCTTGCTCTGGACGATTCGTGGGCAGGTGAAGGCATTGAAGACCCTCCAGAGGTTTTAGGATCAGCAGCAGCCATGCATCAGCAGCAGCAGCAAGTGCAACATCAACACCAGCAGCAGCGGCAAATGCAGCCGCAACGCCACCAGCACCAGCAAATGCACCATCAAATGCAGCAGCAGCAACATCAGCAGCAACACAAGCAGCAACCATGGGCAAAGAAAAGTCCTTCCCCAGCAGCCCCCGCTGCTGCCCCGAATGTCGATGACATTGATTTGGAAGAGTTGCTGCGAGACTGAGGAGGAGGAGCAGCAGCAGTAGCAGCGGCAGCAGGAGCAGCAGCACCACAGAGTACACCCGACCGGTTTGAAAGTAGTTTAAGGAATAATTTTTAAGTGGTGTGGTGTACACCCAGGAAAACGCTGGTGTTTTATAACAAGCAAATAGTGCCGCGTGCCCCCTTGCTGCTGCAGCGAAGCACTTTCTTGCTGCTGCAGCGAAGCACTTTTTTGCTGCTGATGCTGCTGCTGCAGCAGCAAAGATGCTAGGAAGGCTTCTGCAGCTACACACACAAAGAGCGAAGCCATAGCTACATTTGGGGCTGTTTGATCGCTCTAAGCCCATGCATGCATGCACACATGCACGCATGCATGCCTCTAATGGATGCTTACCATGCATGCATGGTGTTGGGTTTAGGGGCGAGATGCAGCAACAGAAGCGAATTGAGTAAAGCCTTTGCCTTTAGATATTGAGGAGTTACATAGTTAGTCAAGCTTCCTGTTGTTCTCTAGTTTCTTCTTTATATAACTGTAGGATCTATTGAGTGTAAGTGGAGTTACTAGTGTGTCGTTAATAAAAGATAAAAATAGTACACGTAATTGCTATTCAATAGCAAGCAAATCCTTCTGCTGCTGCAGACAACAGAGCGCGCGGAAGGAGCACACCATGTCTCGATCGTGACGAAAGGGAGGAAAATTTATTCCGATTAAGTGCAAATTTTCTTTCCGTTTATGATTTTAAAACCAAATATAAATAAATGATTAATTAAATATTTTAATTAAATATTTATTTTTATCCTCCAGTTGCATCATATGTATGCGTGAGGGGGGCAACGGCCAGGGTACAGGGGGGCCCCTAGCCCCCACAAGGCTACCATGGGGTTAGAGCTGCATTAACAATAAATATATTTTAGTCATTGATTTTCATATTTATTTATTTATTTGTTTATTTATGTTTTATATTTGTTGCAAGCAAGGGAAAGGAGTCGTAGAGTGTTGCTTGTCTCGTGTGTATACATAGAGCAGGCCTGGAGAAGTTCTTCTTCGTGCGGCTATTATGAGTTGTTTTTCTTCATTTTCTTTCGCTTTTCATTAAATTTATTTTCCTATTTCAAATTAAATAATAAAAGTACAGTAAAAAAGTGGCAGCAGCATCTGTAGGGCTGTTGGGCTCCGCGGCAGCAGCAACAGCAATAACCGCAGCAGCACTATTAGTAGCAGCACGCAGATCCCAACTGCAGCAGTAGCAGGAGGAGCAGCAGTGGCAGCAGCAGCAGTACATTAGCAGGTATTGCCTAGGAGTTACTGCTGCATTAGCTGCTGCTGCTGCGGGAGAGAAGAGAGTTAAGGTGCCCCCTATTAAGGCTTAAGGACTAGCTGCTGTTTATTTATTTATTTCTTCCTCTTAATAAAGCAAGAAAATGGTGTTCACATACCAGTGCTCCAGTATGTCCCATACACACATTCAAGACGAGGGTTTAGGGTTTAGGGTTTATGATGCAGTGCGGGGTAGTCGGGAGCGTTGGAGAGGGGGCAGTTAATGAAGTTGATAATGAAGGTTTAGATTTTAGGGTTTATAGTTATGAATTAAGTATTTTATATGCGAACATCGTTAACTTTGTATTACCCCTACCAATGAGAAATAAATAGTTTATTGTATATAAATAATATGTATTATTATGTTGGTTTTATGAATGCTTGCAGCTCATGCCATCAACCACGAATAAAGGTTGTATATAATATATGAATAATATATATTATATGAAAATGGTGCATGAATAAAGATGTTATATATATTATATACAAATAATATGTATTAGTTATAAAATAATATGTGCTTTGTATGCATGCATGTGCATGTGCATGCAGCCCCAGGTTACGAAATATACATGGGCCGAGATAAATATGAAAATGAAAATTTAATTGTTTTTGCATTTCCTGAAGATGTTTGGTTTCACGTTAGTGAGCTATCTAGTGCTCATGTATATGTTCGTATGCCTTACGGACAAACAGGTACGCTCTTAATAAAATGTAATAAATTAAATTATATAAATTAAAATTAAATTAATCTTATAATTAATTAATTTAAATTAAAGATCTTTCCACGAACCTTGGGGTAGGTGTGCGAAATACTTGATTTTTTTCTTGTTTTTCATGGTGGCTTTCTTGTGTTGTTTAGTCATTTAATGCATATTTTTTTAAATGGTGAATATACACTTATTTGTTTATTTGTTTGTTTGCTGCAGACTACGAGAGTCTGCCACCAGCAGTAATCGAGGAAGCTTGCCAACTAACAAAACACAACTCTATTGAAGGATGTAAACAATCAGAAGTAACAATTGTATATACCCCAGCATCTAATCTAAAGAAAACCGCCAGTATGGACACCGGACAGGTAGGATTTAAGCAGCAGAACATGGTAAAGTACATAAATAACGTAAAGAAGGATAAGGAGATGATAAAAAGATTAGAGAAGACGAAAGCTGAACCTAATATAAATCTTGAGGAAAAAAAACTTGAACGTGATAGAAGAGAACGTAATGAAAGGAAACAAAAACTACAACAAGAAAAACTTAGGCAGCAACAAGAAGAAGAAGAAAAACGTATTCAAAGAGAATTAAAGACTTATCAATCCTTACAACATTTAAAACCTGTAGAGCAGTATAAAGGGGATGGCACAATAGACAGCTGCAGACAGATAGAAGAAGACTTCCTATAATGTCCTTATTTATATTCATTCGTTTTATTGGTATTCCTATTTCCATGGGGATAATGTGCGAGGAATATAATAATAATAACACACACACCAATCTATTTATAGTAAAGAAGGGAGAAGGGGTTTTTTATATCTAGTCTTGTAGTCCATAGACAGACACAAGGGGAGTGGCTTTATGTACTATTTTATGTATTATAATGTATCTCCCCCTATTCAATGTTTGTTCTTTGTTATAGAACAAAACTTAACACAGGGAAGAGGTGGTGGCGCGTGCAGCACTTGTTTGCTGCTGCTGCTGCTTCTCTTCTAGTTTTCTTAATGCTTCTTCATGAGGGAAGGGAATAAAGATACGCGATTCAGTAGGCAATATATGCACTTATATGAAGCTTATACTGCTGCTTACCCTTTTTAATTTGTTTTATTTAGTGTATACAAAGACAATGTAAATGGTAAGATGAGCATAGTACAGCATCGGGTAAAAGACGTGTCCCGTTGATGTAGGTATACACATAACAAGAGGTCCCTTTCCTCTCGTGTCAATGGGGACTCCGTTCCACGTTGTCCTCAACACTAAACCCTAAACCGTAGCCTCGACGAAGTAGGAACGGAAGACCATAGTACCAGCTGTACTGGCAGCAGATAGTTTGTATTGACAGCAGCAGCAGAAGCTGCTTTATTGTCCAATCACGAGAAACTGAAGTGATTCTTTATTATACTAAAGAAACGAATATTCTGGTGGATTTATGCTTATCAAGAAGACAGCTATTCACCTTCTCCATAGGCCGCAAGAGAAATATGGTGAAACAGGCATTTAACTAACAGCGCCTGCACATACTGGCAAGATGCTTGCTGCTGCTGCAGTTAGGTGGGATTTCCCTCTTGGTGCCAGCTTAGACTGGCGCATGTGTTATGTTCCTCCATTCTAATGGTTTATATTCACTTTACACACACTAGGAGAGAGTCCAGCAGTTGGAAATCGACACAAACAACAGAGACTAAAAAGGACTCTCAATGATAGGTGACATCAGCCGCATGCAGTGCAGGAGATGATCAGTCATAGTTGCAATGTTTCTGGTGCTTCTAAGAAAGAAATATGAAGGGAAGAAGACAGACCTGTTCAGGGGAGCAACGACTGTATGCCCATCTACAACGTTCCCATGATTCCCCTTCTCAAGGGGGAAACCAAGGGGCGAATTAAGCGATATATTTCTCTACAGAACATACCCTGCCTTGTGAAATAGCCAGAAGGTGTACATTTACATGCATTTACCACTCCACATCAAGGCATAGTGCAGCAGCAGGGAAGTAATCAGATCCCAGCCAATGTCGATGCGCCCCAATTGATGGAGCCTTATGAACCGGCGCTGGCACGGGAGTCCAAGAGGTCTTCACGAGCTATTTCGTGTGTGCTGACTATAAACACCTTTACTTACTGCTTACCTGTGTATTATGGTGTTTTAAATTCAGCAGGAAGGAAGGAAGCAGGGTGCCCAGACAGTTGATGTTGGCCAGCGCTAGAGGCTGCAAGGGGATGCTGGGGAACTCCTGAGGATGGCGGGTTTGTCCTCCTGCGTGTTTGCTGGTGTTTAGCAGCTGAAAGGAGAAGTTTACGATTTTATAGGAAATGATTGGCTGGAGGCATACAGACACCACAGGGAGTGCCTCCTGATTCGTTTGCTGCTTCGCGTGCTGCCTCCCGCTGAGCGGTCCGGTTGCCCTTGGACAGAACATCTTCGCAAAAATTGACGGTGTTTTTTTTAAAGGGTAAATGCTATGCTTTTATCTTCGTTTTAAGTTCCTTTTGTCGTGTGTATTCTCTTTCGACGCCTATTTTTCCCTGCAGCGAGAGCTTCAAACCCCCGGACTGGTTCCCAACCGGCTGCTGAGGAGGAGGCGTACGGCCGGGGGCAGTTGACCGCCTTCACACGCAAATTAAAGCTGCTGTGTTGGGGTCGTTATGAATTATTGGTTATTATTTTCGAATACTATCATTTTATGAGCTGTAAAAATGCGCAGATACACGCATTTGAGCGTGGCCCGACGTGCTATAGTGCCTTGGCGTGATGGTAGCTTGATGGTATCTGCGGATTCAAGAAGAAGAGAACCAGAAGGTTCCACTTGGTAAAGTATTCTTAAGATTCATTTAAAGTGGACTTTGTATTACAGGTATGCTTCTTTTCTCATTCTGTATGTGTGACGGGAGTCTACTTTATCAAGGCGCTTCTACACGCCCCGTCGAACGTACAGCGCAGGAGCTCCACTCTTCCGCCGCTTCCTGTTTTTCTTTTTCCACTGCTTCATTCGGTTTTCCCAACTATATCGTAGCCCGCTGAGCTTTGTCGCATTATCCGCCGGCGCAGAAGGCCGCTGCTTTCTGCTGATTTTCAACACGGACTGCTGGCTAGGTGCATCGGGTTGTCTTCGCGCTCTCTTGGGGTTTGCACCTTTGTTCGAGAGGAAGGAGACTTGGCTAAATCTACTGTCTTTTCCCCCCCTCCTACTCGGTGGCCATTTACTTGGGCTGCCTGCGTCCATGCACGCATGCATGCAGGCAGCCTTGTGCGCCTGTTTCCATTTCTAGACCCTTGTCTTTAGGATGCACTGACTGGCATCACAGAAGTATGGCGGGGGTCTCTGCTGACGAGGACCGTCGTAGCTACAGCCTAAGGGACCTTGATGGCAACGAAAGAGCGTGCGATGGGAGGAGTTGTGCCGTTCCTTCTTCTCCCAATCACTGCAGCAGGAGCTGCAACAGGAGCTGCAGCAAGAGCTGCACCAAGAGCTGCACCAAGAGCTGCACCAAGAGCTTCAGCAGGAGCTTCAGCAAAAGCGACAGCAAGAGTTGCAGCATCCCTGTGGGACCATGGGGAGGGAAGCTGCCTAAGTCTGCAGGAGCTGCAGCGCAGCCGTCATCAACCCGCGTGCTTCGTATTGGCAGCAGCAGCAGCAGCAGTTCTCGCTTTTCTGCTGCCAGAGGTTTCGTAGCAAAGCTGCAGAGACACCCATTTCATGCTCCACGTCATCTGCACTCATGGGAGGAGGAGGGGTTCTGCGTGGGGCCACCGCGGCAGCCCGGTGAAGACGCAGAGAAGGAGAGGTTGTGTTGGCCACCGTCAGAACCCCTGCCCCACCCCAGGTCTTCCACCTGGTTGAGATCATGTGAGAAAGGGGACACAAGATAGGTCTTTCCTTGTCAGTGGTTTGCTAGGGGTAGGGCTGTGTAGATTCCGCCTGCAGTCAGGGTGAGTAGCACTTGGGGGCGTTTAGGTAGCAGTAGCGTTGGGTTTAGGTTGTAGCGTTTTGGGCTGTGACGTGTGTACAGGTTGCCAGGTGTGGGAGGGGTTGTTTGTGGGGTTTGGTCGAGGATTCCGGCTGCTGCGCTATGAGGCGGTGCAGCAGCAGGTTAAACACAGGGAAGCCAGCAGCAGGCGACAGACGGCTTGTGCTTTGGGGGTGTCGATGCTGTTCTGTCTGGTGGTTGCTGCTCTGTGGCCCGTCTCCATTAAAGTGCTGGAGGCTCTCCATGCCCCCCGCAGCGCTATCGTCTCCTTTTCTCTCGGCTGCGGGGCGGTGTTTGGGGCTTGGATCCTGCATGCAGCCGTTGTCGCCTTCAGAAAGAAACTCAAGCTTTCTGATAAGGCCGCCCTGCAATTCACGCTCTTCCTCCTTAGCCTGGTGAAGCTGCAAACGCTTAATTATAAATTCAACACCTGAGCTTCATCCCCCAGCGGAATCCGCTGTGCAGCAGCTGCTATAGCTGCTGCTGCGCATACACTGCAGATTCCTAGACCTTTGTGGGGGAGGCATCACAAGCCGTTGCTGCACATTTTGCTTTTTGCCTGCAGACGCTGCTTTTGACGTTGGTGTGGACGAATGTATACATGGGGAATTACGCGGATGACAGAAGGCGGAAGCACTCTAAACTTGTGGAAGAGGCGCATGCAGCAGCAAAACTGCGTGCAGGGGGAGGGCCAAACGGCCTTCTGCATGCTGACTTTGCTGCTGCTGTGGGGAGCCCAGCGAGGCACCGAGATGCCTCTGAAGCTGCTGTTGGCAACCCTGTGGACGGCTCTCCTCTGTCCCACTCAGCACCTGTTGCTTCAGGTGCTGACCTAGACACACGGCTTGCAGCTGCAGCAGCGGCAGCTAGCAGGGTTCACGCCGCCACCATGGGGGCTGCTGTTCAGATGGACAAGGCGTGCGGTGGCTACGTGGGCGGCGAGTCCCACGAGCCAATGGGTGTCTGCGCGTTCATAACGGTGCTGCTCCTCACGGTCTCCAGCGCTGTTTCCTACTCCCTCACAGACTTCTCCCCTGCCTTGTGAGAAGTGAAGGTTGCTGTTGCTTCACCTCCTGCTGCTACCTTCCTCGTAGACTGCTCCTTGAGATCAGCTGTACCCGCCGTGTGCCCGTGTGCTGCTGCTGTTGCTGGTCCTACCATGCACGTTTTTGCATTTGCTGCATTTGCTGCTGCATCTTCTGCTGCGTTTTGCTTGGGGTGCAGCTCAGCGTGGTCATGGCCGTTGTACTTGGCGTTTCCCGTCTTGACGGTGGGGACAGTCGTAGTCTCGAACTTCCTTCTCGGCCATCCTCTTGCGGCAGAGGCTACGTGAGCTACTCCGTGGTTTCAGACCTCTTCCCCTACCTAGCGAGCTTTCCCTCTGCGAGGGGTTGCCGTTTTGCGCTAGCTAGCCGTTAGCTGGCTCTGTGGTTGGCTGGCAACGAGCCTACCTAGTTAGCAATCTTTGCAGCACATGCTCGTCTAGCTATTTAAGTGGATAGTTTGCTGGGTATCTAGTTAGTTAGCTAGCCGTCTAGCCGGTTAGCTAAAGGACTTGCTAGCTTTGTGATACTGTGGGCGCAGGTATATGGCGGTTTTGCTCTTGAGCGGCATCTGGGGCTGCGGCTTCGCCAACCGATTCGTCAGCGCGGCGAAGCCGCAGACGGAGTTCATACCAATCATGGCTGCTGGAAGGCCACTAACAAAGTCCAACTCCTCTGGTGCAATTGAACCAGCAGGAACAGATGCAGCAGCAGAAGCAGCAGTGGCCGACGTCAATGAAGCAGCAGCAGCCGCAGAAGGCGAAGGGGGCTGCAGCAGTGCTGCAGTATCGCGGGGGTCGCCTTGTCTCAAGCTTCGTAAGAGGGGCAGTAGTGCCCATTTAGATGTCCGTTCTCTCCAGGAACTGGAGTGCAAGCCGCAGCAGCCGGTGGACGACTTGAGCGCCTCCTCTTTGGCAGGGCAGCAGCAGGAGCACCTGCAGCAGCTGCAGCAGCTGCAGCAACTGGAGCAGCTGGAGCAACAACAGCGGCTACAACAGATGGCTTGCAGTTCCCTGGACCTTCTGACGGCAGTATGTTCTGATGCTTGTAACCCTGACCCTAAGCTTCAGACATTGTAATAACAGTCTTCGAGGGGACTTAAGGGGGGGTGCCATGGAGTTCAGGCGTTGCAGCAGCAGCTGCTGTCCAGGTGTTGTGCTGCAGGCCAGAGCTGCAGCAGCAGAAGGGCGCGCCTTCCCGGTCGCGTGTGACGCATTGCTTCTCCATCTGCAGACGACTCTCACACAGTCCGTGGAATTCGGGTTTCTGTGCACCCCCATTTAGCTGCAGCGCCTCTATTGAGCCTTACGCCCAACAGCTCAGATATTAATTGAGCTTGCCTCATTTTCTATATTCGTCTTTGTGTTCAGGTTGAGTAGTGCATTGTCGAGTGCTGACGAATTGTATTCTTCTTCTTCTTGCCATCCGTTACATCGATCCGTGGAACCGGTGAGCCTTTAGGGCAGCAGGGAGCAGTAGAGCCCTACCGCTGCTGCGGGTTATGGTGTATGCTTGGTTGTTTCTGTGCTGTGTGTGTGGGGCGAAGGCTGCCAGTCAACGTTGGCTATCAGCGATACATTTGCGGACTTCTTTAACGCATGCTAACCCGCAGGGTTGCTGTTTCGAAGTGCCCGTTTGTGTGGGAGGGTTCCCGTCACCACCTATCCCACAGCAGCAGCAGCAGGTGCATGCACACGCGCAGATTCCGAGCAGCCAGGAGATGATTCACAGCAGCTCTCTCCTAGACGACGGCGCTTGGCTTCACGTTCGCGGAGCTTGCGAGCTGGCCAGCAGCAGCCCAAGCACCATCAGCAGCAGCAGCAGTGGGCGGCGCTGCGTGGGTTCAGATTACCCGCAGCCCTTCTCAGATGAGCATGACGTGGAGAGCGTAGTCTCTGCTTGGACACCGCTTGCTGCTGCTCCTTTTGCTGCTTCTTCGGGATCCAGCAGCAGCTGCAGCATACAGCGCGGTCAAGAGCCACTTGAGGAGGCAGAGGTCCCTGTCGCAGTAAAGCCTGCATCTGCTCCTTCCGAGCCAACTGGGACCGTTCTTTCCCCTCGTGATGCTGCTGCTGTCGTGGGCAGAGTCAGGGAGCGAGGGCCTGCTTGGGATGTACAGACACGTCCACCGGTGAAAACTTCCCCCCGCTTGCGGCCCGTTCTCCTCGTTGGCCGGCTTCTGCCACGCAACGACACCGCAAGGGCCTCTGATAGGACAGCCGCTGGGACGGAGGCCACGGAAGATGAAGACAGCAGCGACCTGGGGGCTGTGGCTGAGGGGCAGCCCACGAACCCAATGCGAATTCAAACCCCACGCGGGAAGAACAGAAGCGCCGTGCATGGAAAAGGCTCATACGAGTCGCTCGGCACCGCAGCATCGGTGAGTAGCGACGGCAGAAGCAGGGCAGCAGCAGCCAATACGCTACTAGTACCACGCATAGGTCAGCACAACACGGATATCAGCACGGCACAACCATCTATGAATAACAGCCTGAACGGCGCAATTCCACGACCACATCACTGTGCACTATAGTGTACAATAGCAAATAGTAGGTTGAAATGCAACTTTATTTAGCTGTTGTTGAAATTGGATGAGGTCTCAAGAGAGGGGGGACGTTTCTCGCTCCTGCAGTTTTGCAGTGCCTTCATCTTTTGCATTGCAGACAAGCCACAGTTAGCCAGGACCATCAGGCACAGATTGTTGCCTCCCGTTGTAATTTCACCAAGGCCGTATTAGATAGCACCAGATTGCCATGGATAGTCAGAAAAGTTGGCTTGCAGCACAGCACGCAAAACTGCAATATGCCGGGGGTAGCGGGTGGTAGCTTCTATTTACGTGCTGCTTTCCGCTTTGTTTTAATCTAACCATTAGAATGTGCTGCCTGAATGGAATCTGTTAACGCATATGATACTATAGTTCAGGACGCATGTGATACTGTAGAGCATGGTGCAAAGTGCGTATGAGGGCTCATATTCTGTCCGCTGTTAGGGGCAACTCAGGACGACATGTGTTGTAGAATGTCTGTGCGCAGCAGTCGTTCACCTCGCCTCCCGCCTTCGGGGGCATAGGCTTGGACTGGGATGCAGATATCCTTTCCCTCTCACAGAATTACCAGGGAATGCTGCAACGCGTTGGCTGGGTGCTGCTGCGGCCCTTCGTGAGCCTTCTCGGCTGCGGCAACACGCCGGTTATTCAGCTGCTGCAACACATTGAGGTGAGTTGTGCCAGGAATATACTTGCAACAGGAGGTAGCAGCACGCACAAGTAGGGAAAAGGGAACATGTAGAAGCAGGCAGAAGGAGATGCTACTGTCTAGCGAACAGGTGCAGGGGGCCATTGCATTTCCTGCTTCTAACTCTGCATAACAGTGACAGGAAAGGAACGGGAAGAATGAGTCTTTCGCCTAGTTTTCGTGAAGCTCAGTCGTGTTTGTTTTTCGCTGCTCATATTGGTTAGGCACGCTATGACCCAGATATCCCATACCACACGGCCACACACGCTGCGCAGGTGGCACATGCAGCGATGGTGTTGAATACGAAGCTCGATCTGGACCCAGGAAAGTGCGTTCAGCGATGTAAGACCCCTTGATGGGGTATTTAATCAATGAAGTAGCTGTCTGTATACATGCGGCATAGACACACCTAAATTGGCAGGGAAACGACGGTTGTCACCTGTGCTACGGGTGGTTCAGGGAGAAAACGGGGAGTTTCTGTCTGGGGTTAGCGGCCTTGGCGCATGACGTAGGTCATCTGGGTAAGACGAACGGCTTCTTGCAACAGTCCCGGCACCCGCTAGCCACCATCTACAACGACAGGTCGATTTTGGAGAACTTCCACGCCTCCGTTTTATTCAGGATCATTAACGAGATGTACGGGCGACTGTTGTGTTCTGTATATGCATGTATATGTATTTCCCGAAGATGTGTATTTTGGCATACCTTAGCTGTTTGGTGTTTTCCCGCCCACGCTATTGTGCGGGTAACCGAAGTTGTTCGTATTTTCCAAATCCGGCACATGTTTATCCCATAGCTTATCGATTCTCCATGGCAACTTATTACTGTATTTTTTATTTATCAAAGGGTGCGGAATGTGTTGTGTGTTTCTGCGTATGTGTTTCTGCTCACACGAATGCACATTTCTCACCCCCCAACTTGTATTGTGTCTCTTATGTGGATTGCAGACCATCCGCCAATATCTTTTGCACCCAAGACTCTCAGGTGCTTCACCTCGCCTTTGTAGCATATCGTGGCGGCTTTTCATACTCTGGCTCGATTAGACCATTCGTGCAAGTATTGCAGTCGACTCTCAGTCCATTCCATGTGTCCCGTGCAAAGGGTTTGGCTGTGCATTGAATGCGCACGTTTTGTTGCTGCAGTCTTACCAGGCTCTACGACAACAAATAATCGCTCTTATTCTCGCTACAGATATGAAGGACCATGTGGACTTGGTTTCTCGATGTAAAGTGAGGTTTTTGGCTTAAGCCCTGAACAAATTCTCACTAGTTATGATCAAATAAGTAATTGTTGTTTTCACACAACAGCGGTGTCCTCCACCACCACATCCGCTAGCTTTTGTGAGCAGTTGGCACAGGCGTTTATTCTCATTTTCATTTCGTTGTACTAGCTTGAGGTGCTTTGTGTCTGCAGACTCGACGGGAGTGCCCAGACTTCAACTTGTTTTGCCGGGAAGAAGACGCATTGCATGTGCGCAAGATGCTGCTTAAGATGGCGGACCTTTCTCATGCCTTTTTGTGTTGGAAGGATCATTTGGTTTGGACGTGTAAGATATCCGAAGAATTCTACCGTCAGGTGCGAATCTCTCCGCTACACTGGATAAGCACAAGGCTGCGAATGCGCTTATTTGTGGAGCTAGTTGATGCCGGTAGTGTCAGCTGCCACCGTGCACCTTCTAGTACATTAAATTCGTTCTTTGTACTTCTTCACTCTCTCTCCATCCAAAGCATTTGAGCGCTCTGATCCTTTATCGCAACGATAATGGATGAATAATTGTTGCTGTGCAATTTTGTGTAGGGGGATGCTGAGAGGCGACTGAAGCTTCCGATATCTTCCGTCTGCAATCGGGACTCTCACCACTGCCTGGCACAGAACCAAGTGGCCTTCCTGCAGATCCTCGTTGAGCCTCTTCTGTGCGAGTTGGAGGGTATTGAAGCGACGACCGAAGATGATCACCCCAGGATGCCCTTTATCAGGTGCCCTATATGCATACGCACGCACAACTATATGCATGCATATCCGTGCATTTATTTATTGCATGCGTCACGTTACCACTTTGTTCCATACAGGCATGCTGGCGTACAATCACATATGCATACACTGCATACACACGAGTACACCCGCACGTAGCATATGTAGTAAGCATACATGTATGTATCTGTACATACTCTCTCGGCTGTTTGTACTTTGGACGATGTGTGTGCAGAGATACTCTCCGAAAGAGGTTTCAGAACAACGTGAAGCGTTGGACTGTGCTTGACAACAGCGGGATGTATATTGTGATAGACAGAGAAACCCTTTCCCGTGGTTTTTACCGGCAAAGCCATTTGAATGAATGGCGAACATCTGGATAGGAAGGTACTGACAGTCTTTCTGCTAGAGAGGGGTTTTATTTTGCCTTCAGAGTTAATAATCATGCGTAGTGTTTATTCGTTTTTGCTGCATGCATGACTTAGCAGCGGTTCGGACGCATTTTCTTGTTGTTTCCTGCACGCAATCCACCGGAGCTGCGTCCGATCGGCAGCGGCACCGCCTGTGCTCTGCATTGTGAAGCAGATGTCCCATAAGTGTATTTAATTTTATGGCAGTTGCTGCCCAGATCATTTTCCGGTGGAACGCGTTGAGGATATTTCGGTCGAAACGAAGTGAACGTTTGCCACTTTTGCCCCCGCAAAGTAAGGGAACGTGTGGGAAGGCTTTCCCAACGTATTTTGTTTTTCTGTGCACGGAGTGTTCCACGACTAATCTCCGTGGTGAGCAGGGGCAAAGCTGTCCCCTGCCTGTGCTTTTTCGCACTGCAGTACTTTCCAGGCAATTGTAAGTGCCTTTTATTCGCTCCCTTGGTCGCGATCTCCATGCTAGGGGGCCATCTTGATTCTCGGGAAGTTTTTAATCGAATTGCCCCTTTCGGTGTTTCTCGATTCTGCCCTGTGGCAGTTGGTCCGGTAGAAGTGGCTTGCACAGGTACTCAGCTTATTCAACTGTTAAGATGAAGCACGGCAAAGACCGCCTGTCGGTCCTACCGCCTACAGCATTAAAGGAACCTTACTACTGTCTAATGTAATCCGTACAAGTCAAAACAGGCCACAAATGAGTACTGACAAAGCTGATCTCACTACAAGTAGTAACAGCAATCGTACCAGCTACGACTGGGTACTGCATACAGCAAGTATGACTAGTGTACGACTAGTGTAGTGGATACGGCAACAGAAACGGCACTAACTATGACTAGTGTATTGCACACAGAATACAAGCCACAACCGAGTACTGGAGCTTTCTCTACAATTAGCGACGAAAATGGTATTAACTACAACAACTATCTGGCCACGACAGGCGCTCGAACGAATTGGTTGCAGGCATTCAAGGGGAACTTAACTTCCAGCTGTGCATCAAAAGTCTGATATGTATTGACGGAGCAACTGCCCCCAAGGAGGATGGCCGGCTGCCCTGATCCCGCAAAGTATCCATTGCACTTGTATCCACAGCACGATGAAAAAGCACACAGGGCTCACGGCGCGCCAATTCCAGGCCGCACTGCAGCCCTCCTCCGGCTCTTCCAGGCTCTGATAAGCGCATCTACCATTATTTAATCTTTGAAAAGGTGTAAAATAGTGCCAGTTTGAAAGACGTGTAGTAGCCAAATGGGCTTCCCCAGCCAAATAATCCCCTTACACTTCCCTCTAGAGCTCCTGGAGCTCTTGCACTGACTGAGTCAAGCAATTAGGCGATAGGCAGACAAAGGCTGCTAATGTAAAGCAATGAGGCTGCACACTGAACATCTTTGAGCCAATCGAAGGTTCATGTTAAAGCGGTCACGATCTTTCGCCACGGATTCTCCTGGCGAGCTGAATGTCCTTGGGCATAATGGTCACTCGCTTGGCGTGAATGGCGCACAAGTTGGTGTCCTCGAAAAGGCCGACCAGGTAAGCCTCCGCAGCCTCCTGAAGAGCGAGAATTGCCTGACTTTGGAATCGAAGGTCAGTCTTGAAGTCTTGGGCGATCTCACGCACGAGCCGCTGAAAAGGTAGTTTTCGAATCAACAAGTCCGTGTTCTTCTGGAATTTGCGAATTTCACGCAGGGCAACCGTTCCCGGACGATACCTATGAGGCTTCTTTACACCCCCTGCAACCGGTGCGGACTTTCTTGCTGCTTTGGTCGCCAACTGCTTGCGAGGTGCCTTGCCCCCCGTGGATTTCCGGGCGGTCTGCTTTGTACGCGCCATGGTGCAGGCCTCTGCTCAGCGGGTGCCAGGAAAAAGTGCAAAGTTAAGCTGAATTAAAAAAGGAGAAAACGAGCAGAGAGGAATATAGCCGCCGCAGAACCCTTCAAGCGCTCTCTACTTGGTTGGCCCGGTGCTACGCCTCAACAAGTTGCATGCAAAACTGTCGAAGCAACAATATGCTGCTCGAACAATACCAAAATACGTCAACTAACAACAAGAAATTCTAAATTATGTTATTTTCGGAGTAAAGGCCAGGAAAACGAGCTCCCATGTCACAGCTCCTTCCTGGCTGCAGCTGCGGCAGCTGCTGCGGCGGCAAAGGGCGGTCGAGGGTGGCCGCTCCCAACGGTTATAGTAGTACTCTCAGGTGACAAAAGACAGCTAGGAGTTAATGGGTCATTTTTAGTGGGGATTATGTGTGCCATTTCGCACGCTATTGTCAAATGGATTGATTACTACGCTTTTCCCGTGCAGACATTCGCAGAACCAGCTGGTATTATGCGATGTCTGAAGTTAGTACACTCACTTATATGCGCACACGCCATCTACTGATGAACACATAAGTATTTAACAGTTGGATACAATGCTAGTGCATGCATCAGAAGAGGGCGTGAGGATGCTAGCTTCTTGTGTTGCCATGTAGCAGGAGTTGTAGCATACAGGAATTCATGACCGCCGCAATCCCCTCCCCGTCCCCAAATTGCTTGTACCAGGTTGTGCCTGTGTAGTCACGTCTCTTGGATAGTTTGTGGGGGTGGTAGACTCGATTGCTGCTTACGATATATGCCGGCTAAGATCGAGATGTAGTGGGGACCCTCGCGCTGATACATCGATTATTGCGAGCTGTAACAGAGCCAACTACCTAAGGTATGAGTTCAGCAAAAAGCAATTGGCATCCCTTTCTAGTTTCCAGGTGTATTGGTGCTGGCGTTGCAAACACCTGGAGGCGGTCTGCCAAGAGTTGAGACGGACCCAGCTGCAACCTTATCGGGAAAACGGGCCGTCAACACAAAAAGCCCTTTTTCTGCAGATACAGCAGCATAAAATGCTGCTTGTATCTTCTGTACTTAGTGGATAAAGACAACGTGCAGCAACGTTAATGTGGGTTCTTGACCTTACCCGCGATTGCTCCCGAGGGACTAGCTCTACCAACGGGTTGCAACGATATCAATTAGGCAGGGTGGCTCCTGTTTCTGTGGCACCAAAGACCTCATGCGTTTGGAATCTTACCTTATGCATCTGTAGTGTGTGCTGCTGCTCGAAACATTGTACCCCGCTGCTGCTGTGAAATCCAACACTGGAGACGCAGTCTGCGCGCAGGCGTGCCGTCCACCACTTACCACATGTTTCATTCCTAAACTTTTGTTTCTGTGAAACGTCCGTCCTGGGTGAAGAAAGATGGCATTTCTGCCGATCAATTGGTGCTCAAATGATATCAGGATGTGATACTAAAGACAGGAAAGGTTGAAGCAACTACCAGGGCATTGTTAAACAAGCGGCACCACCGTAGCTGCGCCACCGACAGGCTTGCCCTTTTTATGGAAACGCTTCAATTTCCACCAGCTAAACAAATGTTGCCTGTCAGGGAACTGCTGCAAGAGGCGATTCAGCAGGCCCTATGTACCTACAGAATGGACTGCTTAGAAAGTTATCCAGTAACCCCCCATCTAAAACGCAAGAAACACCATATCGGCAGGGCAGCCTCATCCCTTGAGATTCGTTGAATAGTAGTTGCTGGTGCGGAAATACGTCACACTAGCCTGGACTCCGCACCCGCAGATGCCAACTAAAGTACATCATGCCGTGTTAGTAAAGCAAATTTTCGCAAGCAGCACATAAATGTTCCTTTCCCCTGGTACACGCTAGAGGTCCAGATGTTCTCCATTTTCAAGTAACGCTACCTTAGCTTCATGATTTATTCTGTCGAATAACCTCCCCTCCAACCGATCTCCTTAAAGTATGCAAATAATCTATTTTGATAGACAACAAAAGTGGCTGAGTTGCCTCACAGACAACTGATATCACTGCAGTACTCGCGATCTGTGATCTTGATAAATACCCAATATAGGGAAGGCTACCTGCCATCAAGTTTGAGCACACCCTGCTGCAACTGAGGCCTCTACACAATGCCAAATATACTTCATCACCAAAGCGCGTGCAGCAACGCTGTAGATAAATTGTGAAGCAGGTCCACCAACTGTTTAATGAAATCATGTAGAAATCCATTTCCATAGTCATTGCAACCCATTCCATGGGGTCATTTTATGTATATGAGCATAGACCAGAGTGAACGATTGTCTAGCGTATATCTCGATAAGCCCTTCGGCAGCACGGCCACTAGTGGAAAGAATCTGGTTAAAAGCTTAAGAACTGGACAGTATCAATTTAACTTCAACCCTTCAAACTATTACTTTCACGGGATGCCAACTGGTTAACGTATCGTCTGACGTTGTCCTGTACCAACCAGGAATCCTCGTTGGTGGGCGTTTGTCCTTGCAGCCCAGCCGTACAGTGATAAAGATTCACATATTCTCTAGTAGATGTTCTAGAATACAATCGTTTGCATTAATGCTCTAATGCTCAATGTCTAACTCAACCTAGTAATCCCAACACCAGCCTCCTCTGCATCTTCATGGCGTCCCGCCTCCGGCCTAGGCCTAGTCCCCGCTGAAGTCCCACGGAGACTTTGGAGGGGACCCCAAAGCCTGCGGCTCTCTCCAGGTGAACTTTTAATATAATGAATTGAATTGTGTTTTATTGTGTTGTAATTAATAAGAAGGCGTTCATTACGGAATGTTCGTGAAGAAGAGAGGGCAGGCGTCCCCGCCGTGGATGCCCTAAGCAACGTTATCCCCCAAGACGAGGCCTCATTGCCTTTTCGCACCCGGAGGGTCCGCAGATGTTGTTAACAGGAAGGTAGGACTCTCGGAGGGCCCCAATGTTGTCTTTAATATCTGTTCCAGCCGTCCCACGATGGCTGTGGATGTTGGGGTTATTGTGCGAGCATGTTGCGGCAGCCAACTCCGCTGTCTCGTCCTTCCCTGGCAACGAGACGGAGTCATTGGGCTTCGCCTTCATTACTGCGGACCAGCTATTTACTGAAGGGTCCCTGGAGGGTGAGGAAGGAAGCAGAGCATTCCAAGCCACTCCTGCTTCGGAAGATACCACAGGCAGCATGTCGCCACGTTCTCCGCGCGTTAATATCGTCTTCCCAAGAACGGAAGGCACAAACCCTGCCTTACAAGGAGGCGGTGTTCCGAAAGCTGACGGGATCCAGCCCTACGGAACTCCCCCGTCGCCTGCCCACCACAACGCGAAAGAAGGACGCCGGAGCCTACGAGCCCCTCTCAGTGCCGCTGTCGTGTTCCTTGTTGTCTGTTTGGGGCTTCTCGCATCCCGAACTTTCAAACTGCGAGCGGGACGAAAGCCTCTAGTATATCCTCACGTTCAGCAGCCACAGCAGAAGCCACAGCAGCAAGAGCGGGGCGGCGAGGCAGGCCCCAGTAGAGGGGAGCAATTGCATGAGCTGCAGAAGTTGCAATCATTGGCAACGTACCTGGCTGAAACAGTGGGGACAGACAGTTCCCTTGCTGCACTACAGCAATTTCGGAGCAGTGTGCAAAGGGCTAGCGAGGCACAGCCAAGCATCGTGACGGATTCTGGGAGCACCACAGAGCCAAGTGAAAGTTCAATGAAAGAAGTCCTGGACCAGAGCGTGTCTGCGCTGTCACAATTATATGAGGCGGCTCGACAGCACGGCGTTTCTCTGGCTCAAAAGATTCAACGAAGCAATGACTCTTTTGTCTTTTCAGAGGAAGAGCTGCAAGCCATGGGAGGTTACTTCGGTTCCGCCCTTGCAGCCTTGCTGGGTTTTCATTTGGAAAGTCTTGAGTTTTCTGTAGACTTTCTTGTCAAGAACGCGGAGGCAGCGGAGAAGGAGCTAAGAGAGCTAGGGGATTACAAAGAAGGGCAGGGACGGCACTTGCTAGCCACTGTTGTTGCAGATGTAGAGCTAATCAGGGCAGCACATGAGGCCGTAGAAATGCTAGATGAATTTGCCGGAAACTTGAAGTCCAGGACTTTTACAGTGCTTCTGTCGCACATCCAGAAAGAGCAGAGGTGCATCCACAGGGAATGCCGGGACCTGTTAGATGAGCAGCGGGTCCGGTGCAAGGTGGAGAACCAGCGGCAGCTCTCTCTTTCCCCCGTAGACACCTCCGCCTTAGAGAAACTCAATGCAGTGGAGGGGGAGCTTCGCAAAGCAAAACAGATGTTGCAGGTGCACCGTGAAAAGATTGGAGAGTTAAGGATGAAGAAAGACATCCTGCCTGCTGCCGCTGCGAGTCAGGAGGCAAAAACTGTGGGAAGGGACTTAAAAGCCTTGCTGGAACAGGCGGCTAGTTCCTTATCGGAGATTGCTGGCACCGCAGGAGCGGAGTGGGCTGCTCAGGACAAGGAAGTGCAGCGCGTTATGCATTCTCTAACATCAAGAGCCAGCCAAGAGGCCGCCACTGTCGCCGATATCGTGGGAAGCATGCAAAAGGAGGTGCAGCTGCAGAAGCCCATCACGCCGCCCTTTGCGTGGATGCGGCAGAACCGGGGGAGGGAAAGCCCCGAGGCCAACACCTTTATTAATCCTTCTGTTGAAACGTTACTGCCGACCTGGCTGCAGCAAGTAGCTGAAAACGCACAAGCGGTAGCCAACCAGGCTGCCGATGCAGCAGCAGAAGTAGGGCGGGGAGGCATAGGTTCGACGGCTTCTGAGTCACTGCATGCTGCAAGCAGAGCGACGATGCTTGCAGAGGCGCTTAGCCAGGAGGCAGATCTGCTGGGTCTGCGTGCGCAGCTCTTGGCGTCCCTGAAATTCGAGATGCAGGCTAGCGACATTCTGGCGCGAAGAGCAGCAGCAGCAGCAGGAGCAACCGCCGAAACGGAGGAGTTCCAACACCACTGGCGTGTTAGTCTACCGCCCCACCAAATCCAGCATGTCCAAGAACTGCTCGACAAAATAAAACTAGCAAAGGAAGAGACGTGGTCGGTGGGCAGTTTGAGGGCACTGGCTACGGCAGCAGCAGCTATGATATCGGCATCTTTTGAACTCATATCAATTGTCCACGGAAACGAAAAACAGTGACCCACAAGCAATGCTCCCAGGTCAAACGTGTGAAGGCGGCCTTAGAGCGAGGTATTGAGAAATTTTTTCTTAGTCCATGTATACCTGTTTCATGTCCTGCTGGGCGCAAAGAAGAACCGCAACAAGTAACGAAGAGGGAGACGGAGACAGCCACAGTGACAGGGGCGGGAAAGGAAGAAAACACGGAACATATGCTATCTTCTTCAGTAGCAGCTGCCACTGAATCTGGCTTTTCTAATGAAATAAAAGTCAAGCGTAGCGCCTACTTGGGACCTGTTGTGAGGTCTTAGGTTCACTCTCTGTGAAGCGGGAAAAACAACTTTGATGACAGCGAGAAGACACTTTTCTTTTTTCTCGGTTTTTTTTCTAAGAGTATGTGAATTCTTTGCTCGCCAATATCCAGGGAACTGGTTTTGTATTCACTTGTAGTATAGGGCTCTTTAGCAAATGGTGAAGCAGTTCTTCGCGCTATTGTGTGAGTGCCACCGCAAAACGGCTGCTGTTGTTGCTCTTGCCGGTACAGCGCGATACTCCGTGAAAGAGTGAGGGTTCCTATCCCTCACTGATAGCTCGCCATGCCAATGACGGGGCAGAAGCAAACATATTTTGTTGCTCTGTGAGTAGCCCCCATTTGCATTATCTGGCGAAGACCATGGTATTTTCCTCTTGTTTCTTTTCTTTTAAGACACTTGGCAGTTCGAGGAGGTCTAGGAAGGCATAAACAAATACAAAAACGAAACGATATTTGGTAGACTTGCGGTGCAGAGGGGAATTAATTTGTGGCATTCTTGGGAACGCCGGAATACGGTTATTTGTTGCATATAAAAGCCCGGCGCTGCATCCACCTGCACCTACGTTTATATCTGCTTATGCACTAGCTTGCTTTACACGGACGTGGTGCGTGCTACAGTGCGAGCTGTATGTGCTATGCCAGTTCCTAGTACCAAACAGCAACTGCAGCTGCTGCTGGTCGTCAGATGATTCTACTTCGTCAAGACAGGAAACACGCTACTTCAGTATGTTAGCGTTATTCCCACGAGCATGCTGGCTATCCCCCTGTTTGCTCTGCTGCGGCAAGCAGGTGTGCTGATTCTGTAGTAGTCGCAGTTGGGGGTTGCACCCAGTGCTGTTCGCGTAAAGAATCAGGTCACAATTCTTGGATTAGCAAACATGCACCTTATTAGGGCTCTTTAGTCACGTGTTGAGACGACGAACACTCACAGTTACGCTATACTTAGTTTCATGTTGAGGCCAATGTGTGGGAGACGCCTCCATCAACTGCGGCAAGCGTGTTTGAGCAGCACGTATTGCTGGGAAGGCGTCCTCTGCTGCAGCTACCTAGTGAAGCCTTTTGCTTACCACTGCTCTGCAAACTCCTCTACGCCAAGGCATAAATGGAACGTTACACACTCCCCTAAGCTTGTGAAGGCTGAACATGGGCTACACCGCCCCCTAAACTTGTGGTGGCCGCTTACGTGAGGTCTCTGCTCCTGCCGACAGGTGTGCCAAAAAGCCCTATATTTAACAAAATATTTTGTCTGTTGGTTTTAATAAACGTGTAGTCAGCTGGCTTATTTGCCAACTGCCTTCACACTGCCAAAGATGAGTAGAAGAAAACAGTGAACTGAACAAGCAGAAGAATGCCTGGCCCTAGCAGACTTCAGCTATACATCAGGGAACGCACGAAAAACCGTTGCTAAACAAAATCAGTTACGCATAAGCAGCAGCAGTGCCTGCAGAGCTCACTTCAGAGTTGATAAACATACATTAGTGCTAGCTACACAGAACACATGCTGCACCTGTACATGCAACGTAGACACTTTTGCGCTGTAGCACGCTGCATGCGTGTATACAGATACAAGTACTGCTCGCCACATACTCCACCGGTCCTTCCCCGCTGCTGCGCCCTAGGCAACAAAATCAACCAACCCATTGTGCGCCAGAACGACGGAACAATAGCAAACTGTAGTCCTTGCAGGGGAGGGTTGTTGCATGCTGAAAAACACTGCAGCCTCCTGAGCGGCAGAGAACACCAGTCAAGTGCTTGCTAGCAGACTGGTAAATGACAACATCGGTGGAAAAGGCAGCCCTACTTAATGCCTCTTCTCGCTCTAGCCCAACAGGGCCGGGTATCGCTGTGGCAGACACCGCACGAACCAGCTGCATCTCCTCTATAGTTGCCGTTGTCGCCTACGCACTCGCCAAGATAGGGACAATTTTTAATTGGCAAGAGCGGCATCATGGTGCATCTCCCCTTCACACAAGTACAGGGTCAAACAATGGCGGTAATCCACAGTATGCGGAAAATATCGCCAAAAGAGAGTGCAGCGCCAGTTGCTTGTCACTTCTTCTGTGCGACACAGCTCGTGTAAACTCCTTCCCTCTCTCTGCTGGTGAACGCGTAAGGGTACCTGGCCACTTAAGTGCAAAAGGATGGCATAAAAGCAGGTACTCCTTGCCATATTTCAACATCAAATAGGCGTTGCTACTCCCTTGCGATTCGCGCTTAATGAGTCGTTGGTAACTTCTGGTGGTCCTGAACAAATGACATGAGTTTACAGGCTATGTCCTTCATCTGTGCTGCTGCTAAAGCCGCTTCTTTGAGACCAGTCAACGACCTCGCTTGCTGCTCACAATTATTCAACTGTGTCACCAGATCCTGAAAACGCAAAACTTCCGCGGGCGACAGTTCAACACGCCAAAACTGTCGCTCTCCTTCTCCTCCGTCTACTGCTGCTATTGCTCTCCACGCCAAAGTTGCACTCAACTGCATGTCCGATTCCAAGGAGTCATTCAACTGTGCTCGCAGCCATAGGAGCTCTGCCTCATCGCCAAGGGCCCCTGCAGCCTGAGCGGCAACTTGAGATGCCTGCAGCAATTCCGCCGTACGGGAAAATGCGCTGCCGCCAGCTTCCTGGTCCTCGTCAAGTACAATGTCAGAATTCCGCAGCACTTCTACATGCCTCATCGCCTCTTTCACCAGCTTGGCCACCGAGGGGTTTAGAGAAGTCAGTGGCACTTGTTTTCTGTTCTCCTCCCCAATCTGCGTCCATCCAAAGGGAGCCTCCGCGGGCATCTGCACATCAAGCGCCGCCATGATGCTTGCAACTCTCTCGGTGGCCTCCGCCGCCGCTTCGCTTGTCCTTAGCGCCACTGACTTGAGGTGGCGCTGCATAGCTGTATTCTTGGCAAGTTCCTCTGAAGTCGCGACGCCGGGAATCGATTCGGCGGTGGCGGCAGCTTCTTTCAGCAGGTTCTCCACTTCCTCCTTTATCGTTATAGCCTGCCGTTCCAAGTTGCCGGCAACAATGATGTCGGTTGAGCCTGCTATCCGGCTGATGGCGTCACTGTATTGCTGAAGCAACTGACTTCCCTTTCTCAACATCCCCTCAAACTTATCGAGGGCGCTGTCGCGTTTTCCATCTGATCTGGGGAGCAACAGTTGGCGTTCCCGCTCCATCCTGTACAGAATACGTTGCTGCTCGAATAGGTCCAGCAAATGGCGATGCTCGGCTTCCTGTTTCCGCTGGTAGGACATGAACAGCACAGATGCTGCATTGGCCCTAATTTCCTCAAGACACATTTTCTCGGTGTGCATGGCTTCATGTCCTGACTTGATCAGCTCTACATTTGCAACAGCAGCCGACAGTAAATGTAAGTCATCCACGGTGTTGAGTCCCCCAAGACCTTTCAGATCTTTTGCTGCCTGTTCCACCTGCCGCACCAATGCAGGGAAAGAAATTTCCATGTTCTGCTCATGTGCATCAAAAAATTCATGGAACCCTAGGCCCAGGTGGCAGTCGAGAATTTTCAGCTCATTCTCTGAAAACACCTGAGACTTCCGAGTTCGATCCTGCCTCGCCTGTCGCGCCAAAGACAGTCCGTGCAGCCGAGCCTCCTCATACAGCCGAGACAGCGCGGATATGCCGCTATTAATGGTCTCTTTCAGTTGATCACTAGAGCTGGCGGACCCCTTCGCCTCCATTTGTTCCACCGCCTGCAAAGTCGTCTGAAAGTCCTTCGAGGCAGCAACAGCATCTTTCGTCCCCATCATTTCAACCAGGTGTTCTACCAGCGGCTCCAGTTTCTTCATCGAATGCAGCTGATCCACGAGTTGCTCATTGATTGATTTCCTCCCGTCCTGCTGTTGCCCCGGCGCCTCTGGGGAACCTTCAGGTCGTGCACCCGGCCAGAACTTTTGATGGCGTAACTTGAAACCCCCCAAGCAGGCGGCGAAAACTAGGAGAGTCGTGATGAGGGAGGTTTGGAGGACCCTATAGTCACCGTTGGATTTTTTGGGAGAAGGCGCTGGGGATGCCGCTTCTGGTTGAGCTGTTCCTTCCACTTCGAATAGGTACCCTGAGGGTAGGTCAGGCTGTATCTCTGCTGGGGTAGATAGAAGAGCCCCATCATGCACAAATGAAACATCGGGTAATACGCCAACAGAAAATATGGATTGGGTTCTTCCGCCGTCCTCTGCGGGCAACCCAATAGACCACTGATCGTCACCTAGGGCCAGGCTCACCGACTCCGTCTCGTGGTCGAGAGGGGGAGGATCAGTGGGAACAGGTGAAACTGCATCTGAACCCAACAGCCCCAGAGCATATAGGCATCCTGCAGCGACTGAGAAATATGGCAAAAACATTTGTGGCCCACTCGCGTACTCTCGAAATATCATGTGAAGACACACAGGAGGCACAAATTCCTATGAACACGCTAAGACAACAGATAAGAAGGATAAGAAAATTCTATCAAAGCCAATTAAGCCTGACTCGAGCATACAAAATGCCCCATGTGCCTGCCTTCGCTTGCTTCGACGGCACCATCCCGAGATGCACACAGAACTGGCCAAATATTCAGATAAATTCCGGGGGAATAAACGGAGACAGGAAAATTAAAAGCACCATCCGTCTCATGCTATTCACGAGCTCACGACGTCCCAATGCTGGAATATACATATAGGAACCCTCACTTGCGGGGGAAAAGAAATGGGTAAAGAACTTCAGCATGCACATGCAAATGTCTGTGGATAAATAGTGGCAGAACGAGCTTAATGATGTTCTGCTGTTGAAATATGTCCTACAATTAAACGGGACTAGAAGTTCGTTTGGAGGCAGCGCCGCGGGCACGGGGAAATGCAGCTGGGACAGAAACTGATTGCCTGATGCCTAAGCACGTTGCTCTTCTATGCAGAATAATGATCCCACAAAACTGCCTGGTTGATTACTTTTTATAAATGTTACGCTGCAAAAAGAGAAACTCCTTCAAGTAGGGCATGCACTTATTGCTGTTTCCCTTGCGTTTCTGTATGGAATGTTGTGTGCTTCCTGTTAAACGTCTTGGGGGCTGGGATACGGGTAGACCCATTCCTTCGCCCAATGCCCTAAACCCCTCTTTTTCTACGTGTTTTTGGGTTAATTTATACTTTCCATTAATGAAACATTCTATTAAGTGTCATTTTATAGCACTCTACTGGCCAGCAGCATCATTTCTGCCAAGGTGTGTATGAAGCAGTCGAGATCCTGCAGACCTAGTCACAGCTATGGTATGCACGAATTCGCTGCTCATTGGTAGTCCACAATATTGACACGTAAATTAAAATAATTAAATTTAATATCCAACTGGCACGATTCAGTTCTGCAGGAGGCATTACTTCACACATTTTCTAAAGGGGTGAAACCTCTCCATAAGGGGTACCCAACTCTCGACCTTATACACAGCCTACTGCCAACTATAATAGGGCACCAATCCTGAAAGAACAAATATAATTAAAAGGAGAAGACCTCAGTCCGTGCCCACCGGGTCTCCTCACCATCTTGGCCCAAACGCCTGAAGCTGTGGGGGGAAGGCAGCTCCCTCTGCCTCCGTGGGTCGTGGGGAGAGGAGGATTCGTCTCGAAAGCTAGAGTATACTTTGCTGCAAGTCTTTCTATAAGGCAGTGTACCATAGGGTTACACGAAATGGTCCTTTTTATTTATCCACGAGCATTGTAGAGACAGGCACTGTATACAATGGCTAAATATGTTTGTTGCCGTCAATGACTGGCAGGGAATGTACAAATAGCACGTCATGATGGTACAACCGTGCTGCAGCATGCATTTTTGCAATGACTGCAGCAAGGTAACACCACTACCCTTCCTTAACTCCCTCCATAAACACCACACGCCATGGATTGCTTCCCTACCAACTAGGGGAAGGCGTAATGAGGGGGAGAGGCGGTTTCTTGTATTTCCCTTCAGTCATGAGCATAAAGATAGAAAAAAATGACAACAGAGAAGAACTGCATATAATTCTGTTGTGTACCCATACAACTCGTATATCGATGATTAAGCATGGCTTAGTAGCGTGGTCCCTGGTCACCACTACTGCGTCTCTGCCTAACTTCTGTGCACGCCTCCGCTGGTTAATGCATAAATACCAACAGAGACGAAAATATTTTAGGTGCCTTTGCAGACATTCAGCATAACTCGTCTCCCAATAAGTATTTTTTTCCGTCATTTCTGGCGGATTGGCCCATAAAAAGTATGATGGAGGAAACGCGTCATGGGCGAAGTCGTTCTACTTATGTAGATGAACATGTACAAGGAGGGAGGCAGACTGCCACCGGAAAAAGAAATACTGCATAAAAAAGGCAATTAAAACACACAAAGGATAATCTATTTATACATGATATAGGAAATGAGTGCAAGACATTCTGCATGCACGCGCTTCGCTGGATCTACTGCAGCGAGACGCTTATCCGCTTGTTGCTTCTACACAGGAGAGCATATCCTGAATAATCATCAATGTGCAGGAGAAAAACATTGCTAAATTTTATGGTAAATATTTAAAAAAGTATATACAGATACTATCTTCCTTCTCCTTTACTGGCGGAGTACGCTACTAGTCAGTACAGTGCACCAAGCGCAGCAAGCTACTAAGCACAATGAGAGTACTCGTTCTTATCTAAGGACCATTGCGACCTTCTGTGTTCTGCAAGGCAGCCAATCTTGCATGCAGCTCCCCTGCGGTCTGCATGCTGCGAAAGCAAGGTTGCCTGTTCCTTATCTAGAGAGGAGGGGGGAGCGAAGAAACACTACACTTGTTCTTGGTGCAGAGCCGGATTCAATGTACAAGTACTCAATTAAACCCTTTTTTACTCATTATTAATCACTATTTGCCTAAATATATGTAGAAATGTATGCACAATCTTTAGGCACAGCACGTTGCATCTGTTACAAATAATCTTGCATGCAAGCATACACAGCCTTCATTCAGATCTATAATTTATCCCTGTATAATGTTAACAAACATCGATTTGTTTATGCATGCATCTGCACCTCTCCCTAACCAACAGTATGCATGCAATTTGCAGTATATGAGTAGCATAGGCCCCTCCTCCTTTCTTTTTGCAAAAACCCCTCCATAGATGGCGCATTAACCATTACTCAGTCTTAATAAGTAAACAGTAATCAATAAAGTCCCTATTCAAGTTTATTAACGACTTAAAGTGTTAATAGATACAACAAAGAAGGCATATTTCTTCATGCATGCATACAGGTTTGTTGTGCATACACAGGTGTATCTTAACAACTACTATACCTTTTTCTCCCTCGTAACTCGTTGCTCTTGTGCTGTGCTTTGTATGAGATGGTAAATTATTAAGGGGAAGGGAGGAAGACTGCACTTAATAAAAAAAGTTCAATTAGTCTGTGCAGATTGTATCGTATAAGAATCCTTGGATAGGAGAGAGGATTCTGTTAATAAATATGTATAAGGAAATAATTTTATACAGATTGTACATTAATATTTGTCTCTATGATGTTTTTTTTCTTCTTATGTTGTGAGTTTGCTTCCTATGGGGAAAAAGCAACACAGAAGGGAGTAGATCGGTATTCATAAGTTGTAGTGTTGTATACCTGGTCTCTATACAACCTTAAATGGCAAAAAGACTATAAAATGCGGCAAAACAAAGGAGTAATTGTATAAATAATTCCTATTTATGCGTATTTCCTCCTCTGTCGCTCTCTTACAGTCACGGGAGCGGTGCAGAGATGCGTATTATTAGGGTAGTAGCGTAAGGTAACCTAATAATATACCAATTAGGGTATAAGATAATAAGAAAAATAGAGATGTAAGGAGGAACTCTTGTGTATACGCACTAAAATATAATATTAGTTATCTTATTTATTATCTTATTTATCTTATTAATTACGTATTTATATCCCCTTTTAATAGGAAGTTGCTAAGATGAGGGGCGTAGTGGCTAATGCTGCACAGACCAACCGGGGTTGTACACAGCCGTCTCGCGTGTTATATAGCAGTAAATAATAAAAATATAGGTATACCTAGTAAATTAAAGGAGATTCATAGGTATTTCTTATAAAAAAAGACGTAAAAAGCAGCAAAAGCGAAGAGATCTCGATCGCTTTCTGCTGCACCACCAGCAGCAGCCGACGCTGCTGCTGCTGCTGCAGTGGCCCGGCCAGGGGGCCGGCCCTGTTCCTGTCATTTGCTTCTTGCAGGTAAATTGATTAATCAGTACATATTTAATTTGCTTTTTAGTATATATACTTATTTATTTAATTTAATTTAATTTATTTTTATATATTTATTTATTTATAAGTACTTATTTATGGTGGATCTTTCTTACTTGTACGTATGTACACGTGGTGACTGGCTGATGATCGACACGGAGGTGAATCTTCATACATAAACAGATTAAGGAAAGCAGCATATATTCCCCTCTTTTTCTTTCCTTTTCTTTTTCTTTCTTATTTGCTTATATTATTATTTACTTCTTTATATTTATTGGTAAGAGTGGCCGTAGATATACCGCCAAAAGCAACAGTGCAGCAACAATCTGCACTGCAGCAAGACAGCAACAGGAACCAGGAAGCAGCGAGTGCAGCAGCAGTAGAGACGATCGTGCATTACACTTAACGGGCAAGAGCAGAATAGTAATTAATTGCACAAAAGCGGCGGCAAAAGCAGCAGCGACAGCACCAACAGCAGCAACAACAACAGCAGCAGCAGCAGCAGCAATGGATACTGAATCTAGGGGCGCATCGTCTGTTGACACTCTTCCTCATTCAACTGTGGGGCCCCTTGGGGCTGAGGAAGGAGGCAGCACCATAGTAAATGGTTCTGCTGCAGCGCAAGCAACTGGTACCTCTACTATACCTACACTGGACTCGGAGGACACAGTAGAAGTTGCTGCTGATGATGCAGCAGGAGGAGGAGCAACAGCAGGAGATGCAACAGCAGAGGATATCTTATTAAGACGTTCTCCTCGTAGTACCAGCAGCAGCAGCAGCAAAAAGAAAGGAAGAGGAATAGGTAAATCTCTTAGTGCTGCTGCTCTATTTGCTACTGCCCTGTGGCTGCTGCTTGCTGTACGTCTACGTACACATGGAGGTATACTAAGAAGAGGAAGAGTATCATCATTACAGCAGCAGCAGCAGCAGCAGCAGCAACTGGAGCAGCAG